TCTTCCTCACTTAAATCCAATTCCTTGCGCAAGTCCCTTTCATCCAGCTATTTTATTACTTTGGATAAAAGTGGTCTTCATCATTCGTGATGGACGAACAACAGGTCGAAATTACACTTTGCGGCGCACCAACCCTCAGAGTTTTCTTGTATCTTTTGTATGGTTGCCGATGCTAATGTCACATGATCATAAAAAAAAAAAAAAAAAAAACACGTATCCCGAGAAATATGAACATAAGGAAATGAAAATAAAGTCACATACACTAATCATTACGGTAACGTATCAAAACATGCTTTGAGGGTCGAAACAGGTTTTGTACGCAGGTAGTGCATTTAGTCAAAGCGAAACTTCAGGCACTTGGAGTGACCTTCCACTTTGTCCCATGGTACACGTCTGTTGTTGACATAAAGGTTAGTTGCGTATCCTTTACAAGACGTTGCAGAACCAACCCCAAGAGCTCCAGGCTGTTGTGTGGTTTTTCTAGGCAAATTTACGTCCAGTAGTTTGCCATTAACGGGAAACTACCACATTACTATCCCAAGAAACTCATCATGGAAGCCATAAATGAAACTCAAAGATCTGATGGTGAGGCCCCTAGGCCAGGCAGATCACAAACGCGAACTGGGGAAGAGAACGATGGCAGAGCAAGTAAGGGTAGTTGTGATTAAGAAGATGAGAAATATTGACATCTTAAAAGATCTGAACATCAAGGAAGATTGGCTAATAAACAGCATCCTTTCTCGAAAGCTGAAATATTTTGGTCATATCAAGCGCCACGACGGATTGGAACAAAATTATAGCAGAAGGCATGGTACCAGGAAGGAGGGGCAGAGGCCGACCGACACAAAGATGGGCACAGGATATAAGTGACTCCTTGAGTGTGAAAGTTCATGAGGCGGGAGAACTGGCAAGAGACCGAGTTTCTTACAGGCAGACTGTGATGAGAGCGACGTTCTGCAAAGGACCTGCTACATGATGATGAGTTTGCCATTGCTTTCTGGACGATCGGCTTTCTTGATACCACTGTCGAAACCAACGCAAGGCGCATGGCCCGCAGCTGGGATCGAACCTGGCATCCTGCATTACGAAGCGTTCGCATCGACTTAGCCACAGAGCCGACGTTGTTGACAATAACGAAGCTAATAGACTGGCAGGTTCTGTACGATCGGAATATTTTGGAAGGTGTGCATCCACATCACTGCTTACAGTGCGAAAACTGGGAGTCAAGACCGGCATAGCCAGGCATGAAAGCCACACACGACGCACAATAGATTTTGTCAACCAGCATAAGGATTGGCACTATTAACTGAGGGACTTTTATGTAAATGTTAAAAGGGGAATCTGAACACCCATAGACGTGTCCGGAGTGCTGCTGATAATCTAGCTCATAACATGATTTGATGTATGCTGATGGAGTTTGCAAGTGGTAAAGAAAAACATGATCACCTTGGCCAGCCGTAACGTATTAGAGGGTTATGAGATATGAGTTATGAGTTCTATCTTCACAGCACTCCGGACACATCCATAGGCGCTCAGATTTCCCTCTCAACATATTCATCAGCGTCGCGCGGTTTATAGTGCCAGTCCTATGTTGGTTAATAAGACTACGTGTACGTCCGGTGTGCTTCTCATGGTTGGCTGTGTCGATCTTGATTCCCAGTTCTCATATTCTTAGCAGTGATGTGGACACTTTGCTTCCAAAATCCCCAGAACGTCCTATCTCTTTAAGGGCAATGACAATGTCTGCGTGATCCATGGGCCGGCAATCTACAATTATTGCAGCACCTGCCAGTCTATCAGATCTTTCATTACCAACAACACCTGCATACCCTGGGTTAAATATTAAGGTAACTACACACAGAGGAGAGTGTTGCAATGACTCAAACCACTGTCTGCGTAACCAGCCTGCCTCGACCCACTGGATCATGCTTTAAGTGTTTAAGTGTGCTTGAGTGTGATGATGATAATGACGCGTTCCAAAAATTCACACTCGTTTTTGAAACGGAAATGCTTAAATAACTGGTATTCAGTGGAGCAGTGAATGAAGTGGTACGTTGGAACATGACCCGAGTAGTCTGTCAGAGCTTGTGTACGCCCATTGCGTGACTTTCATGGCGAAACCGAAGATGCAGCCTCAAGGAAACAAGAAAGGTGTTAAAAAGATACCATCTTTTTACCCATTGTTGAGAATGTTATTATGATTCTCTCAAAGCAGATAACTAGACATCACGAGTTTCAGTTGCCCACGTAGCCTGGAAACATAATTTCATTTCGCGTTTTAATAACACAGTTACAATCGCCAATCTCCTAACTATCGTTTTATTAACTGCTGTAAATCATATCTATACACATGCCAACGGCCATATCTTCTAATCTAGAAATACTTACTCAACGAGCATCCGCCTGCGCCTACCTATCCCCTCCCCACCATGTACCTACCCACCTACGTAACTACCAACTAACTTATCTGCTGGCCTACCCACATACCTGTCGAATTACCCACTTACATACCTAGCTAATTCTTCGTCCTATAGTTCACGATGTGTGCCATTGGTAGTAATGTTTATCCACAACCTTCTGTCTATTGTACATTCAGTCAGTTCTGTCACAGACGATCTTCCATTCAGTGATGTCAGACTGTCCAGCATCTTTTCTCTCTGTCTCTACCTGTCTCGTTTCATCTTCGTTTTCCTCACAGTCACGATGTACTCCAGTTTACTTTTTCTCCTGACATGACCAAAAAATGTAGACAGTCTCCTTCTGATGTAGGTAATCAGTTATATTCGTGAGTCAGTTTCTTTCAAGACATCTTTATTAACTTTTTTAAATATGTCAAGGGTATTCTGATCATTCGTCTATAAAACGGCATCTCCGCAGCTTCCAAATAAGTTTTTCACTAATATACTAATTGTCCGTAATTCACCTCCACAAATCAGAATAAGATTTATATAGTTCTTGAGACTTCTCTTTCTCGTCTCATTTGACAAAGGCAGAAAGAATAGAAAATTCATCATTTTGTAAAAATGCTGCATCTACTTGAGCTCTTCTATATTGAACTTCTGTAATACAGCTTCTATCTGATGTTATCAAGATACCAAATTACTTAAACGTATCAATGTACTAGAGGACTGACCACTTAATATTGATGCTGCATTTTGGAGGGACCATTTTCTTTGTATTGACTATTACTTCTGTACTTGTGAAATTATCTAGCTAATTAATTACACACACCTTTTTGTTTACATAAACTAAGTCTACCTTGTTAAGATCCTACTTACAGCCTGCTTATCCAAACGCATCCACCAATTCATTGACATCTGTCTGTCTGTCTGTCTGTCTGTCTGTCTGTCTGTCTGTCTGTCTGTCTGTCTGTCTGTCTGTCTGTCTGTCTGTCTGTCTGTCTGTCTGTCTGTCTGTCTGTCTGTCTGTCTGTCTGTCTGTCTGTCTGTCTGTCTGTCTGTCTGTCTGTCTGTCTGTCTGTCTGTCTGTCTGTCTGTCTGTCTGTCTGTCTGTCTGTCTGTCTGTCTGTCTGTCTGTCTGTCTGTCTGTCTGTCTGTCTGTCTGTCTGTCTGTCTGTCTGTCTGTCTGTCTGTCTGTCTGTCTGTCTGTCTGTCTGTCTGTCTGTCTGTCTGTCTGTCTGTCTGTCTGTCTGTCTGTCTGTCTGTCTGTCTGCTAGACATTCACATTTCAACATCACAGTTACAATTATCAGTCTCTTAACAATCGTTTTATTAACTGCTATAAATCATATCTACACACCAGCCGGTCCCCCTTTCTTTTACTCCAGTTTTACCTATCCGTCCGCCGACCGTCCGATTCCCCCCCCCCCACCCCACTTTCTTCCCTCCATCTATCCATCCATTCCTGCATCCATCTATCCGTTCCTCCATCCACCCTTCCATCCGTCCTTCCATCCATCCTTCCATCCATCCATCCATCCACCAATCCATCCACCTACTCATCCATGAATGTATATATTCTCCCTCACTTCTCACCGTTCGACCGCCAGTCTATTTGTATCTGTCCAGTGCGTCCCCTCCTCACATCTGCCGGTATCTCTGCCTACTTAAATATCTTTGTGAAATAAATCTGTAACGTTCCGTGTTGTTTAATCCTTGTGAGCACCGCGACAGACTGGGTACGGACACAAATAAAACAACTAGGGAGGGATGGGAGCTCGTGGAGCCTAACCCTTCTTAAACGTTTTATAAAATAATAATAATAATAATAATGACGATGAGGATGAACTGAATGAAAATACATAACTAAATATTATAAATACCATTACATGTGAATGCAAGAACTTACCATTAGCCAAGTAGGCTCATGCGTTAACACGCACTGCCACTAGCCACTCTTCTCTGCCCCGTCCTCTTTTCTCCCCTCCATCTCTCCACAGAAATCATAATGTTGAGATGCTGTGGTTTGCATTTAGTCTGTTTACATTATCTAATTTACTTGATCTTCTGTTGTGTTCAGTGACCATGTCTCGGAACTTCTGCTTCTTCTTTTTTCTTGCTTTGCATGGACACTTAGGTGGAAAGTGTTGGCTGTTGGTCCACTTCTGGACTTTGGTCTTGTTCCAGAACCTGAGTGTTGCGTGCACAGCCGTCTAACAAATCAAGTTTATATGTATGCAGACTGTTGTTTCCTTATATCTCAGGCACATGCATTCCGACTTCGAAGGAAACCCATAATTGTTCGACTCTTATGACATGCTTATCCCAATGAAGGGAGCGTGAAATAAAATAAAGCTCACTAGGTTCTATGAGACAGCAGTGGCTAAACTATTAATTCCTATACAAATACGTCTGCTTATGATACCAAGAATATCACATTATCTTTGTAATGACCAAGAAACATATACTGAGCTGTTTAGAATTTAGGCAGGTAATGTTGTTCTTGTATAGATTCATTTGTTTGTTCTTTTTGCTGTTGTTGTTAATTATTGTTGCTGTTGTCGGTTTTCTAATTGGAATGCATGTCTTGTTTTCTTACAGGGTGGGATTTGATTGGTAGTCACTGTTATAATTTCGTTAACGTCTCGTTGGATTTTGAAGATGCCAGGGACACATGTCACAAGTAAGTCTATTCTCAAAGCAGTGTTTCCTTATTGTAAATCTCAAATAATAAATAAATAAATAAATAAGTTGCGAAATTTACAGCTTGGCATATGAACAGTTTATTGCCTGGCATATTTCCCTGTATCTCGTCTGGTTTCGTATCTCAGTCATAAGGAATTCATTTAATTCTTCCCGTCCTTTTTAGGATTAAAGTTTTCGTTATTTGAAGCCATATTCTGGCTTTTGCCAGGGGCCGCAATATAGTCTGGGACCTCTCCACGGTGATCCTCACCCGCATGGTGGTACTTGTGTCATCGGGTGTTATCGCTTGTGTGATATCCTAGTGGGGTAGAAAGTCAGTCAGTCATTAGGAATTCATTAATTTGTTTAATGTTATAATATTGTTACTGCAGTTTGCACTTGACGAGATGCAGAGAAATTGGTCAGGTAACAAACTATGTAACCTATTGTTTGTTTCTTCTTTGTCCCAAAACATTATTTTGCTGACAACCGTTTGTCATAAACGGCTAATTGCACATAAACGATTATTCGTCACAAAGATAACAATAACGGATTGCGATCTTCGGTTCATGGATGCAATATTTACTGAGATCGTTGGGGGTCGCTATAGCTACAGAGTTCGTGTTTTGCACGACACTGTCGGGAGGTGGCTAACAGTTCTGTGGAGAGACAGAGCTATATGGGATAAACCTCGTTGCGATGAAGTAACTCATCTCTGTTTTAAACTCGTGCACCGCTGCTATGGAGATGGGTTGTTGAGTAGAATGTTGAGAATATCCCGGGAAGAAACGAAAACAAAACGCGGAGGTATTGAAAGCTGCAGTAGTCACTTAAACGTTCATCAAACGCATTAGAGAAAGAGAACTGAAACCCATAAGACGTATTATCATCACAACAGATGGAATGGAGAAATTAGCATTGTGCGACAAAGTATTTTGTTAGAAAGACAAACATTGCCAGGGAAACGTGGCTGTTAAATATTTACAAATATTGGCAACAACAATAATATTTTCAAAAATATATATAAAAAAAAAAAAAAGACCGTTTGAGTTTCGGGATCCCATTTTGGGGGAAAAGAAAGAACAGGGCACCTGACAGCTATCAAGAATGTCACAAGAGTTAAATATTAGGGGTTAGCTGTTTTAGCATATTTTGGCAGAAAGGCACAAAAATCGCAGTTAGCTGCAACGAAAACAACGTGTCAATGGCCTTTCTAACTGCTAACACAGAAGACGATATAATAATAATATGTTATAATATATATATATAACAAGTTTGTCTGGTCACTCGCCACCGCACTTTAATAATAATAATAATAATAGTAATAATAATAAATAGTAGTAGTAATATAAATATAATAATAATAGCTAAATAGTAGTAGAAGTAGCAAAAACAATGGCAGCTGCAGTAGTAGTAATAATAATAAAAGCAGTATCGTCTTTACTATAAAATGCCACAGTGGACTGGGGAACACCTACCAAATTAAGCACAGGAATATATGGCTCCAATACTACATTTTAATTTGAACTTATTTGGCTACAGGTATGGGGCAACACTTCTGATTGTCAGAGATGAAGTGGAGGCACATAACGTTTCGTCTGTAGCTCGCAACCGATTTGTTTCTAACCACTACTGGATATTCAATGGCAAAAGTAAGCAACTGTAATGCATGTCATTATATGTAAACATATATTTCGGATTTTTGTGAGTGTACCAGGAACAAGATGTTAGATAACATCAGAGAAAACTCTACAACAGAAAATGTCTAAAGTCGAAGCGGCCAGAAGTGCAAGAAACAGAATCTCATTTCTCCCTTCATTTTCCAAGCGGTACAAGAGAAGGTGAAAAAGAGGAAGATGTTCATCTAACATATAATTTACATAGGATGTAATTATGTTCACCTGGTCTGAGGCAAGTGTGATGTTTAATCTGCTATGTCCGTAATTTCTATTCACCTGGCTTGAGAGGGTGTGGGTTACCATTTACACAATAGTGATATCTGTTCACCTGGTCTAAGGGGAATGTGCTTTATCATTTACACTGTAGTAATTTATTTTCACCTGGTCTGGGATGAATGTGCTTTGTCATTTACACAGTAATGAGTTATGTTCACCTGGTCTGGGGTGAATGTGCTTTATCATTTACACTGTAGTGATTTCTGTTCACCTGGTCTGGGGTGAATGTGCTTTGTCATTTACACTGTAGTGATTTTTGTTCACCTGGTCTAAGGTGAGTGTACTTTATGGTTTACACAGTAGTGATGTGTGTTCGACTGGTCTTATGCCCGTGTGAGGTATACATAATTTTTTTCTCGCAGGATCTTAACAAACCATTCTGTTTCACGATAGGCTATTTAAGTATAGTTCCTAATTTGATAAGTTTGTTTCCGTGACATTGGATTAAAGCTGCACACAATATTGATTTCAAATAGTTGTCAAGGGGACCGATTTATTTCAGTGTAAAGAGAGCGAAAATGGCATTTAAACGCGTTGATTCAGTTTTACGCATCTGCAATTTGAGACACCAGATAAAACCACGGATTCCATTGTGAAACACCAGAACATTAATTACTAGGAAAAAACATGAATAGTATTCTTCTTCTTCTTCGCCTTCACCAGCTGTAAACTCTAGCGGAAAGTTTTGGTTGTTCATCCACTTCTGGACTGCAGTCCTGTGTTACACTACATATTGGATACAGCATTTTTGTGAGAGAAATTTACAAAATAACGTAAAGGACTTTTTCCCTCGCTTTCATGTCTTTTGGGCATAAAGTGCTAGACCTATATTTTATAGACCAATCAGCAGTCGATGGGTGACGTGGTCAGCATCACACCAGCCAGCTTTACATCCTAGAACTTGTAACTGTTAATAGGTGTTTCGTCCTTTTAAGGACGAAATTTTTTTTGTTATTTGAAGCCCCACCCTGGCTTTTGCCAGGGGCCGCAATATAGGCAGGCCATAAATATGGCCAATTGTCTGAACGCGGTTTCTGGGACCTCTCCACGGCGATCCTCATCCAGATGGTGGCACTTTGTGTCATCGGGTGTTTATCGCTTGTGTGATGTCCTGGTGGGCTAGAAAGTCAGTCAGTCAGTCATCCTAGAACTTTAGTTGGCACACACTCCGGGCTGGGTCGACCCGGGAGCCAAGGTCACGTTTGAAAAAAAGTCCAGTTCCTTTTGGATTCAAACCTACGACTTTCAGATCCACAGATAAGCGTCTAGCCGCTACAAAAAGGTAGCTATATCTTGCTACCCCCGCTACGTTGCTGTCTGAAGGTTTTATCTTTCCTTTATTTTATTGTGTGCGCTAGTGTTAATTATTTCATTGCATGTTCCGATCATTGTTTTGTGAATGTAAAAGTAGCAGTCACCTGCAGTTTACAATTCTGCGGTTTTCATGTCGGTCTACAAAGACGGACAAGTCGCCTCCAACAGGGATGGAAACATGACGTCGGTCAACAGCACATTCTGCAGCGGTATGTGGCAACCAAATGAGCCCAGAGCTACAACAGATGATGTTGCTGTTGCAAGCAATACCCGCGGTAGATGGGCGTTGATGTGGGTACGGACGAACCTCCCCTTTGTGTGCAGGGCACCTGCTTGTCCCGTTGGTAAGAAAATCCACTTATACTAAGATTTGAGTATATATTTTATGGAAAAAAGGGGTTGGGGGAATGGGTGGAAAAGGGGCGGGGGCTACAATCAAAGAGACAGACACAAATAAAAGAGTAGCTAGTGAGCGAGAGCGAGCGAGAGAGAGAGAGAGAGAGAGAGAGAGAGAGAGAGAGAGAGAGAGAGAGAGAGAGAGAGAGACATTAAGATAAGGAGACTGTGACTACCTTGTTTAGAGTTGTATAGCTCAGGATCATAAGCCAGACAGAAAGCCTGTGCAAGAATACGTACGCCACAGAAATACTTAAGGCCAATGAGACTAAGACGGAAAAAAAGAGGACGTATCTGTCCCGTAGTCATTTGTGAACCAGAGGTCGGGGAAAACGATCGTCATATGTTGAATGTAGTCTAAATGAGATGTGGAAGAGTTTAACTGTGATTGTCAGGAAGGTATATATGTAGCACATTTTGTAGATTGAAATGTGAGAATAACTACAATAATTTGAGAGCGTTAACAAACGAATAACAGCAGCATTCCATTCTGCATTTGGTTGTCATGGAATTGTTTTTGTTCTCTTACAGCAGTTTGTTTGATATTTGATAGTAGGGATAATAGAGAATCAAGATACTAGCCTAGCAATGGGAAGAGCTTACACTGAATCAGGATGAACACTAGAACTGTTGCAGAGACAGACAGACAGGCAGACTGACACACAGACTGACACACACATGTATGCATGCACGCACATACATACACACACACCCACACCCCTACATTCACATACACACACACACACACCTGGATTTGGGCAGGGGAATTGGGGAAGGGGCAGTACCTTCCATAAATAATTAATTTGCTCTAGTTTTCATCTTTCTTCTTGGCAGTGCCTCAGTGTTGGAAATATTCCAGAACCTCTGCTCACCCATTCCCTTTCCTGCTGAATTAGTTTTTCACTGTATGGATTCTCTGTATGTTCTGTTGCACTGTCCAGTTGATCCCAGAAAGCCTTCACAACTTTTTTTCTAGATGAGCTACTAACAAAGGCTGATTAAGTCCCATCTGCTCAAAGAAATGGAATATTTGACAGACCAGTGGTTTAGCTGCAACACCCCAGTCAGGGTTGGTGCTGCATTGGAAGATGTCAGGAAGAAGAAGAGGAAGCAGTATACAAAGAAACATTACTTATCTAACAGAACTGGAATTGAAAATATAGGATGAAGATGAACACATTACTTTTTTCATTATCCTTCTTGACTTTGTGACAGCTGCTAAAGGTAGCATTTCTAAGCTTCCTCCCCTTCTGTATATTCTTCCCCACCCCCCTTTCCCGAGCTGTCTTAACAATGTTATGGGCCCTTGGGAAAACTAATGTGCTGGTGCGTGAACAGCAATCACTCATAGGAATAATATTTTTACTTATCATAAGTCACTTGACATATACAGATTAGGATGGGGCTTCTATGCTTGTGGTGCCCCCGGTCAAGTACCCAGCAGGCCATGAATCAAGACAGCACTGCCCCCACCTACTCTTCTCTGCCCCTCCTCTCTCTCTCTCTCTCTCTCTCTCTCTCTCTCTCTCTCTCTCTCTCTCTCTCTCTTTCTCTGTTTTCTTTGTACATGCTAGAGGTTGCATGTAGTCTATTCTCATTTATCTAATCTACATGATCATGCCCATGTGTTCAGTGATCATGATCATGCCCATGTGTTCAGTGATCATGCTCCTGAACTTCTTATTTCTTTGCTTCCACCGACTGTAAACTGTGATGGAAAGTTCTAGTTGTTTGTCCACTTCTAGACTTTAGTCTTGTTCCAGAACTTGAGCATTGTGTGCACGTCTTTAACAGATCTGGCTCATTTCTTGGCAGACTTTTAATTTCTTGCCTCTTAGGCAGTTGCACTTTGACTTTGAAGGAAACCTCTAATTACTTGACTCTTACGACATGCTTAATTGGAAGGCTGGTCTTTTCTGTTTTCCACATAATGGGAGCTCTGGAACTCATACAGGGTTCCTGGCCCTAAACAATTTCTATGTGCTTTTCCATCGCTTTCATAATGATCATAATGGATATAGATATTTCATTATTTAAAATTACGATATTTGTGGGAGCTATAATGACTGACCATGCTCTGAACTTAAAACCAGTAGCAAATGTTTTGGTATGCAACTGGAACAGCCAGTAGCTATGGCTCAGAACATGTGCAATGTGAATTGGAGCATACTATGATAACAATTGTTAAATCAGTAATCAGATTATGGTGTTCACCTCAAAATAAATCTTGGCTGAAGAATCTTAGTTTATCGATTTAAAACCCCTTTAGCAGTTGATTATACTTGAAAGTGCATAAAATTATAAATTAAAAATTTTATAGCCAAAAAAAAAAAAAAGTTAAATGTTGAATTTTGAATTAATAGTCAACAAACATCACAGCTCTTGGGACATTCCCATAAGTGCTCCATCCCCATCTTCAGCAGCAAGCGCAGAGTTTCAGTTCCAATAGTACCAGTAACAGTCTAACTGTATACCTGTCTCACCTTTCCTATGAGTGTTGAGCATCAGCCAGATCAGCTGGTCATTCCTCACATCACCATTCTTCTCAGACCATAACAATCTAAAAAAAAAAGTTACCAGTAATTAAACAGTTAAAGTCAGAAAGAATTGTATATTTAAAGATCATTCTCATTTTTGGTGCTAGACTCTTTTCGCTGCAGTGATGGGATGTGCTTAAACAGAAAATGGACTTGTGATGGTGACTTTGATTGTAAGGACCAGTCTGATGAAAATAACTGCACAGGTAAGGTGTACAAATGATCGGCTGTAGAAATAAGGTTTCTTTTTCATGTTTCTGCAGTCTTTTGAGCACATATTTTCTTTGTGGGTTCTGGGGCATCCTTTTGAAAAAAAAAAAAAAGACCCACTGCGCTCGTAACAAGCAGGTCATGGGGAGTGACTAATTAGTGGGTTTCCTTCAAAGTCGGAGTGCCCGCGCCTGAGAGGCTAGGAGCCAATGGTCTGCATACAAATAAGCCAGATATTTTAAATGAATATGCACAAAAAAATTTAAGTCCTGGGTCAAGACCAAGGTCCAGGAGTAAACAAGCAACCTAAACTTTTTGCCAGAGTTTTCAGCCAGTGAACGGGCAGAAGAAGAAGAAGAAGAAAAAGAAGAATAAACACCCACACATATCTATAGAAAAAAAAAAAAAATAATTTAAAAGTAAATAACTTTTTTATTTTCTTACATGTGTTATTTTTTTTAAGGACTGATAGATACTCAGGTAATCACAGTTCTAGCTTCACAGCACAGGGGTCAACCCCATAATTCCTTGGGCAGCAAAAACCACACAGAATTCTCACTCCTGGCCCTAATGAAATAATTCACACAGATTGCAGTCTCAGTCAAGCTGGTAGCATAGATTCAGTAAATGCATACGGCACCAAACAGAAGTAGTATGCCACTAGAACTGCAGTTCATCATTAGTGTAAGCAGCAGTTACAACTAATCAGTAGTTGCACATGCAGTTAATCACATAAGACATCACCAGTTCTTTGGCAACAGGCTCGCCATTTGATAAATGTGCAGTTCCAACACAAACCATGTTGGTAACAGTTGAAAAGCATTCTAAATGAAACCCCACCACAATACAGCATGCCAACTGCCCTTTTCAAGGTGAACAGAAGAAAAAGACCTGCTGTGAAAGGAAAACTACCATTTCAGACACATTACCATTGCATACCTACTGAGAGAAAAAGCATAACCATCTCAGACCTACTGAGGATGAGACATTACCATCTCAGACCTTAAGGTTAGTTGCGTATTCTTTACAGGGCGTTGCAGAACCAATCCCAACAGCCCCTGGCTGTTGTGTGGTTTTTCTAGGCAAATTTACGTCCAGTAGTCTGCCATTGATTCCTGGACGGTCGGCTTTCTTGATACCACTGTCGAAATCAACGCAAGGCACATGGCCCGCAGCTGGGATCGAACCTGGCATCCCGGCATTACGGCGCGTTTGCATCAACTTGGCCACAGAGCTGACATCTCAGACCTACAGAGAAAGAAACATTACCATCTCAGACCTACAGAGATTGAAGCATTACCATGTCAGACCTACAGATGAAGAAATATTGCCAACTCAGACCTACAGAGGAAGAAATGTTGCCATCTCAGACCTACAGAGGAAGAAATATTGCCATCTCAGATCTACAGAGGAAGAAATATTGCCTTCTCAGACCTACAGAGGAAAAAACATTACAATCTCAGACCTACAGAGGAAGAAATATTGCCATCTCAGACCTACCAAGGTAGAAATATGGGCATCTCAGACCTACCAAGGAAGAAATCTTGCCATCTTAGACCTACCAAGGAAGAAATATTGCCATCTCAGACCTACCAAGGAAAGAATATTCCCAACTCAGACATGTTGTGCAGGAAACATTACCATCTCAGACCTACTGAGAAAGAAACATTACCATCTCAGACCTACAGAGAAAGAAACATTACCATCTCGGACCTACAGAGGAAAAAACATTACCATCTCAGACCTACAGAGGAAGAAACATTACCATCTCAGACCTATGGAGAAATAAACATTACCATCTCAGGCATGTCGAGTAAGAAACATTACCATCTCAGACCTACTGAGAAAGAAACATTACCACCATTGACCTAACTCCAGTCAGTACAGATGTGCTGTGCTGAATCCTGACCAAGCTACATCCCACTTTACTATGCAAAACAGTTTTTCTGAAGATGATTCTTTGGTGTCAGGTTGGGAGATAAGTCTCCACATCAAACTACTCAGATGCCAACTATTTTAGGGCTTAGACAAACGGAATGCAGATACATCAAACATTAGAGTTAATGCACAGTCTTTCTGTAGAATTACCAACCAACCAGCCAGCCACCTCTGCACTCATTAGTATGATTTGTAGCAGTTTTCAGTTAAAATTTTTCATAATTAAAAAAACAAAAAACATGCAAAGGCACGCAGGCATGCATGTACACACATGCACACACACGGCATTACTGCCTGCATTTACCAATTTATAGTGGTGTAAGTAAGTGTCTTGACCTGAGGATTCAGGGCTGTGGCTTGTGTGAACATCATGAACTGTGCCAGTTATGTTGTTTGTCTACAAAAGCAGAAACATATTGCTTTTACCTTACCGAGGATGGAACCTGGGTTTCCTAAATGGGAATCTAACATTATAACTACTTGAACCAGCTACCGATTAGTTTTGTTGTTGTTTAAAAAAAAAAAATCCAAATGTTATTTTATTTTTGGTTCCAGGTGGATTACACGAAGATACAAAAACAATTATTCATATAATGCTTTCTTCCAATCCAGATAATGTCAGATACTACAAAAGTAGTTCAGGAACCTTTGATACTACCAATCTTCCTCTCAGTGATTACTACCAGTTTACTATGGAAGGACAGCCTGGTGAAATCTTGAGAATAGAGGCAAGTCATCATCATCATCGTCGTCGTCATCATCATCATTATCATCATCATCATCATCATTATCATCATCATCCTCATGTACCATGTGATTAAGTGCATAGGCTGTCATGTTTCACCATCTCATCAAATCACCAGAATCACGGATCAGGTCAGTCTTCTTGTGCCATCCAGCAATCCCCCCAAATGGCCAAACTATTTTATCTCTTTTCGTATCATCTTGCCGGGTGTCACCAAGGCCTAGGATTCACTCTTTCTCGTAACATGTCCAAAAAATATTGACTGTTAACGTCGATTTTTCTGATCAGTTTATGGTTTTCATCTGTCTTAACTCTTTTAATACCTGAAGAAGGTATTGTAGGAGATGCCAGTTGAAGAAATATCTGAGATTAGAATTCATCCATGCTTTACTTTCAAAACAATAAGATAACACTATTTGTGACCTTTGGATTAACCAGATTTCTTGAAGTGCTGTAACCAAATAAACAAAAATTAAAATAAAATATTAATCTGGTGAGGGGATTCAGCAGATAGTATTTCACACATCATGCATTCTTTGGGACTCAAAGAGTTAAGGAGAAGTAAGTCAAATTTTAAATATTGGAACTATTTGCATTTTTCTTATCAAATTTCAGTAACGAATTACACAAGGCACTTCTGTAATGCTTGAAATGATAATTGTAAATTATTTTTAAACTTTAGAAGTTTATGTAATAAAAGTCAGTTTTCAAGAATTATCTTTGCATTAAACAAATGTGGAAACAGTTTCTTCTCCTCCTGCTACTCTTCAGGGGCCATAAGCACTTTGTGGTTTACAGCTAAGCTGCATTATAAATCCCTTTTGGTATGGGCTTTTAGAATAAGAGATAAGTTACTCTGAAATACTTTACCAAAGGAATATCTTCCTCTTAAAGACCATGCTGTGTGGCACTGGTAGTCATCCACAACCTTCTGTCTTGTGTGTACTTTTCAATCAGCTCTGACACAAATGATCCTCCATGGCATGATGTTAAACTGTCCAGCATATTTTCTCTGTCTCCCTCTCCCTCTCCTCTCTGTCAAAGAATAAAAGCATTTATAATTTTTAAAACACTGCTGTCTGAGCTATTTTATTGAACATTTATATTTGAATGGTTTCATTATATACTGTTGTAATTAGACTGTTTCAGCCTGCCGTATTGTTTTCAAACAACCACTTAATAACTTGGTATACCTCGCAAACATATTTTAGGTTTTTTAACCACGTTTCCAAATAAAGCTGAAGGTCAGTATGTGCGATATTGAACACAAAGAATTGAGAGGATGTTTTAATTGTGTGGTTCGGGTTTTTACGCTAGTCAGTTGTAAATTAAAAACGTTTACGTGTGGGTGCTCTAATTGGGCGGCTGGGTAGTAACCGATTAGCGCATGATATTTTACTTGGGACTCAAAGAGTTAATTATCCAGAACTCAACAGCCGTATGTTAAAATTGACTCTGTGTAGCATGCAGAAGTTTTTCCTAACCTCTCAAGTCAGGGATTTATTGCATAAGATGTTCTTCATTTTATAATATGCTATTTTTGCCTGTCAAATTATGTCTTCTTGATACACCTTTTATCTGATGGGACAAGTACAGAAGCTTAAGTATCCCTGTGCCTGGATACTCAAACTTCTGTACTTGTCCCAGAATAATGCCATTAACTTACATTGTAAATTTAGGCACAATTGTTTTCTTTGATTTTCCATTACTTCTGTCTTCTCCTTATTCAAGCTGGGGCCCATTCTTTCCCTTTCTACTGTTGAGTTGGTTTTCTTATTCTTGTTTAAAATAAGTATATAATCTTTCATTTGACCTAAAATGGGTACCAGATAATATTCTGGGAAGTAAAGATAGCCATGGGATGTTGACCTCATCACCCATAAAGTTAAGGTTGTACCTAAAGTGTTTCCTGTGTGGCTGCCAGGGTCCTATTTTGGGGGAAAAAAGGATAGACCCACTACCCCTCTAAAAAAGCATGTCGTTCATAGGACTAATTAGGGATGTTTTCTTCAAAGTCTGAGTGCATCAGCCTGAGACAAGTAACCAACAGTATGCAAACAAATAAGCGAGACATGTGAAATAGATGCACACACAAAGCTTGGAAAAGGATAAAAGTCCTGAAGTGGACGAACAAAAACTTTCCCATATAGTTTACAGCCAGTGAACAATAAGAAGAAGAAGAGAAGATACCCAAAGTGCTAATAGCATTGAAAGGCTCTTTTACTGTGTTATGTTAGGTTATCACAGTCAATGTCCCTGCATATTGGACATTCCCTGTTGGGTTCAGTCTTCCGAGGCAGCAGCTATCCCAAAGTACCTCTACTGATTTTTTCATAAAAAGTTGGTTATAATGTCTCCTATCTTGACCTCATAGACAGCTTAGATGTGTGATGCTGTTTACAAAGTTTTTCACTAACATATAGTTTTATAACTTATAGTTATCTGGCATGTGCAAGCTTCAAAATTTTGCTCGGACTGACAAGTATTTCACTAGTTTTTCAAATGGGACAATGAAGATCATTTTGTGTGATTTCTGCTGTCACTGGAACGGTGCAGTTATGGGGTGATCTGATTGCGGTGATGTTTGAAACTTGACTAACGACTAGTTATCTACTGGATGCTGGGTAGAAGCAAACAAAAATTTCAAACTTTGTCCTCTTTCAGCCGCCCGAAGGCCTACTTTATCCAAGAGGGTTTCTTTGCTATCTTATTTGAGTTTGTTTCTTTATTGCGATCATTTTCGCCTGAGTCTTTGGTGATTGGCAACATGTCTGACGCAGTCTGGCTTAGCAAAGGGTTGTTTTTCCTGGCGTTCAGGAGGGGAGTCCGTTAGTTCTAAAAAGGACTAACAGAGTGCCTGGGGCCGCCTGGAACGGGAATGGGGGGAATCTTCTGTGAGTCCGGTGCTGGCGTACTCTGCATGTGGCGTCTCCTGCTGGTACCTCTGGTCAGTGAGCTGGCTTCTTGGCTGGCCTGCTTTTTGGTTGACTGTTTCCTGCATATTGGGAAGGGAGTCTATCAGTCCTGAGAAGGACAAGCAGATTGCCTGGGGCGGTGCTGGAACAGGTGAGTGGGACTTGTTTGGGCGGTCCTGGCGATCCTGGAGGGGGCGATGCGAGTTATCTAGTTTTCTATTATTTTCCTATTTATTTATTCACATAGCCAGTTCGCTTTTAACCTGTGTTTTATGTATGCATTATCTTTAGTTTGAGGCACCACTGAAGATTGCTGACAGTGCAGACAGTGTCAAAGTGTACTCTGGTGGGCCTTCAGTATTAACAAGTGACCTAATCAGAGACATCCGGACAAGCCAGTTTGAAAAAGTCATTGTGTTTGGCAAGAATCACTTTCTTATCATCATATTACAGTTGGGCTCAGCTGGTGTCAAACCTTCGGTGAAAGCTAGTTGGAAATCTGGTAGGACTTCATCATTTTTTCATATTACGATTTCTTTCTGCCTAGTTGTCAGTCATCTTAAAATGGATTTTTTATTTTACAGTTTAAAAACAAAAAAAGTAAACATTTGTGTCATATTCTATGCTTAACCCACTCTGTACAAAGCAGTGCTGTTAAGGGAATGTCCTGAGTGTTGTGATATCAGTTCTTGAAACTCAGCTCAACTCAAATTCTCTTTGAGTCTGTCATCTTTTCATAGCTTTTATCCCTTTTGCCACGAGAACACTAGAAACCCTTGGGAAGTCCCTGAAAAAAATCTTTAAAAAACATGTAACACAGGACACTAATAAATGTTTGAAATTGTTTTTTTATCTTTGTGTTATTTTATTTTTCAAAATATTTACAGGTATGCAAAAGTGGTAATCAGTAAACATAGACAGAGTGAAGGACTAAATGGAATACATTTTTCACTGCCTTAAAAAAAACCCAGTATGTATCAGATGACTTATGCCGTGACCTTGCGACCTCTGCTAATTTCCTGCAGCCGATCAAGTCCTATATGTCAGTATTAAGAAACTGTGTTCATGTGCCACAGACACAAACTTTGACTTTCATGTATTTCTTTGATTCTGAAGTATCAAGGAACCGATATGAAACATTCAATGTTACAAGCACATCACTGCTGATTTCTTCTCCATATTTTAATTCATCTTTAATGCCTTTCTTTTTCATGGTTTTTTTCCCCAGATTCTGAAGTATCAAGGAACCGAACTGAAACATTCAATGTTACAAACACATCGCTGATGATTTCTTCTCCATATTTTAATTCATCTTTAATGCCTGGAAGTTTTAAAATGGAATGGCTGTTAACAGCTCCTGCAGGACAACTCATTGTATTAGAGGTAAGTAACATCGTTAAGTTCTTGTGTTCTTGTGTGTGTTTTTTAAATTGTCTTTTGTCCTACTGCTTATACTGTGAAGCATCACAGAGAAGAGTTAGATGTACTTTTCCATATTTTGCCAGTTGTGTAGCTTTTGTTATTGTCATATTGCTCTTCTCTGATGTATTTTTTTTTTCTCCCTTCAATCATCTTGTTTTTAATCAGCCTCTTGCCTTGTAGCCTGCTATTCTCATGTAGTAGGCTCCAGCTACTGGCTCTGATTTTGTTCCATTTTGACCAGACGACCAAACTATTTGATTCTTTGATGTTCTGTGAAATTATTTTCTGGTACTGTGCCTGCCATTGTTTTTAGTTCTTCATTAGGGCCTCTTTCTCTCATTGTTTTTCCCGGCTGCGTTTCTTTTACATCTCATCTCACATGTTGTAATTTTACATCTGTTTTTTTAGGACAGTGTTTTTACAGTGTAAACAATTAGCACTGCCATGGCTAATTCTCCAGTTTTTTTTTAGATCACGCCCTCCTAGAGCATACAAATGGTTAAAAAAAATATTATTTATAATTAAACTAAAACAGAATGCAAGTATAACAGATTATTACAAGTAGAAATGCGCTCACTTTCAAAATTACTCCCTTTTGAAACCTCCCTGTGCCACCCCATAGGAGGGCGTACCAAAAAGGTTGGAAACCACTGAGCTAGAGGATCGCCTGCCAGCCAAAGGTCTTGGGTTTGAATCCACATCGAGGCGGATTTTTTCAAAACTGATCTTGGCTTCTACTTCATCCCAACCAATATCCCAGTTAATTTTCTGAGAAGTAAAAGTGTGTGCCCCTGGAATAAGGGGGTCCTTTCTGGCATATTTTGGTGCAGAGGAGTCAACTTTTAGACTTTGACCTATACACGTTACCATATCCTGGGAGTGACTCACCTTTATAGCTGAAGCCTTTGGTAGCCATTAAATAAGACTATGTCATAGTAGCCATAATTGTTTGGAATAATTCCTGCATTTTCTGGAAATTTAACTTTGAAACACTTGCAACAGTTCACCAGCAGAAGGGTAATGTGAATACTGTATGTATTCCTGGGATGCTAAGTCATTGCTTGGGTTGATTGAAGGCCTGCACTGCATCTGGGGATAAAAGACAGAAGAAACATCATCTTTATCTTGTAGCAGATCTTTTGCAAGAATGGCGTGTACTTCTCTAGGTGAACTGCCAGTTTGCGTGATTTACCTTTTGTGCCAACAACAGTGAGCTGTAATTTTAGTACGGGATTCTTTTGGTGCATCTGACAGCTTCTTTATGCATTATGTACTTTGCCTGTGCAAGCTTCAAAATTTTGCTGGGACTGATACATCATTAGGTAGCAGGTCCTTTGCAGAACGTTGCTGTCATCACAGTCTGCCTGAAAGAAACTCGGTCTCTCGCCAACTCTCCCACATCATATACTTTCATACTCAAGGAGTCACTTATATCCTGTGTCCATCTTCGTGTTGGTCGGCCCCTGCCCCTCCTTCCTGGTACCATGCCTTCTGCTACTATTTTTCCAATCTGTCGTGGCGCTTGATATGACCAAAATATTTCAGCTTCCGAGACAGGGTGCTGTTTATTAGCCAGTCTTCTTTGATGTTCAGATCTTTCAAGATGTCAGTTTTTCTCCTCTTCTTTGTCCAAGGTATTCTGAGAATCTTTCTATAGCATTTCAGCTCAAAAGCCCCTATACTCTTTCTTAAGGACTGGGAGATAGTCCACAACTCACATCCTATGATTGGGCTGATACATTTGTCACTAGTTTTTGATCGGGACAGTGAAGGCATTTAGTGTGATGTCCACTGGCATAGGAACTGAGCAGTTGTGGGGTGACCTGACTGCAGTGATGTTGCAACCTCAACTGACTAAATTTAATTAATTTGCAAGAGCATCACTCCCATCAAGCACTCCAGAGGGTCACTTTATCTCCAACTTTGACAGCTTTTGAACTTATATGCTTGCAGTATCCAAGATACTTTTCTTCCAGCATTGGGCTGGTCATCTGGATCTTTATTCAGGAGGCGTAACCTCCATTCCTGCTCTCTAAACCATTACAGTGTTTAACTCTTTCCATTTCAATCTATACTTTCTGTACTACAGATTTTATACCATAGAATAGCAGTATTTGAATTCCACTGCGTGTCAAAAATAAATAATTGGGCAGAATAAGTGGAATTAATAATTAAGACACAGTAGGTTAAGGAAACAGAAAAACAAGAGAGAAGATATTTAGCAATGTGTACCTTGTGAAGAGCAATAAATAAATTCATTGTGTTGTCTGGTTCATAAAGAGTTAATGTGGTCAAAATGTTTCGGTTCACATGAAACAATACTGTTTATGAGTGATTGGTTAGTCTTCCTTGATATTCAGATCATTAAGAATGGAGTATTTTTCCTCTTCTTGGCTAAAATACTTTACAAATCTTTCTGTAATATTTAGCATATTTGTGCATGTATAGGCCACAGTGTTTTAACTGAAAATTATTGAGGCAAAAATAAGGTGCAGCTTCAATTCTAGATATTAGTCCTACATGTCGCTTGTATTTATTAATAAACAATAACCATTTTGAAACATACCTTGAAAAATAAAACTACCGGTAATTGATGCCATTATGGTTTGCTGCATAATCACAAACTTATTTCGTGCCATAAAGTGTCTTGGCCAGCCATAACTGGCTTTAAAATCACTCTGAGTAATTTCCATGATGTCTAATATTTGACGTGCTTCAAACTAACATTTCCACAGACACAGACAACCGATCTGCCTGTATTTTCTTGAAATATTCCAGCATTTTGTTTTCTTCTTCTGGGTGTGTCAGTTTCTGGCTACACAATTTTTTTTGTTACTTTGGAAAGTTTTTATCAAGAGCATCTGTCATTCCAGTCCATCTTCACATATATTTTGCATCATCATTGAAATTCCTCCCAGTCGCTCCGTTTCCATTTTCTTGTGCATAACGCCCTACTTGCAACTTAAATTTACAACAGTAACTTGCTCTTACATGGCCCATCTTTAAATGTTTACAGGTGCTATTGTTTCGGTTTTGATATCTCTCCAGAATTCTAATGAAAATTTTTTTTTTCCTAACATTGTTTCAAAAATGGAGTGCGACCTATACACGCGTTAATAAGGTAAGTTTTGGCAGCACCAATGTTTTTCTTTAGTAATTTCAAAATAGTAGCATAAGAAGACATAACTTGTTCCTAAATTGTAGTAGCATACTTTCTTCACAAATGTTCCTATTTTGTTAATTACTTTATTGACAGATTTTAAACAATACTTTTGAAATGGATGCCCGTTCAGAAGTTTATATTGTAACAAATGTTGGATTCATGCTGAAGCAACTGAACTCCAACAAAGCTGTGTTCATTTCCAGTACTAGTAATGTGACTGTAATCATCAAGACGGACTCAGGAAAGCAGTTTTTTAGTGCTCATGTCAGGACAGGTCAGTAATAGTTTATAATATCTGACATAGGGTTGACTGTTGAGCTAAGAACTGACACCACAGCACTTGAGAGACATTCCCATAAGTGCTCTGTTCTCATCTTCAGCAGCCAGTGAAGAGAATGATTCCTATGATATTAGTAGCATTTTTATTATATGTCCATCTTGCCTTTCATTTTAGTGTCGACCACATCCCCTGATCATTCCCAGCTGTACCATTCTCTCTAGACTGTAATGTCATACAGTATTGTTTTGACTACATTTGTGCCTTTCTTTACACCTCAAGTCTTTTTAGCCTACAAGGTTTCCTGTCTACTTGTGTGTGTATGCTTATGCATACCTAAGTGTGTGTTTGAGTGTGTTTTGTTTCTTCTTCCGCCAAGCATTATAGTGGCTCTGCTCAGTGTCTGTTTAAAGTTGTTCTAGTAATCAGATATTTTGTTTATTTGCTGTAAGACCCTCAGGAGATCTTATTTCTCTGATGAGGTTCCATGAAACTTTAAACACTAGAGAGCCCAAACTGATAATTTCACTATGTGATAACTCCAACTTCTACTCTGACAGAAAAAGATCATTGTTATAGCTATGGTGTTAGTGCCTTGTGCTCTCAGCAGGAGGCTAATTGAGAGACCAAGCCATATGGGACAAAACCTGGTGCAGTGAAGTCAATCCTCTTGATTATAACTTTGCCTTTAACCTTTAGATAAAGCATATTTCTTGAAAAATAACAATAGTGTCACATATTCCTAACATGTATTTTTGACCAGAAGTCAATTTACTTGAAAGTTTTAGCAAGATAGTCAAATTTTGATGAAATACATCTGGAAGTTTTGAGAGCCACACTAGAACAGTGGCTAGACAATTGCTTGCCAGCTTAGAAGTATTTCTTTTATTTCTCTAAAGTTGTCGTCCTTAAGTAGGTGGTTGGCACATTTTACAACATTAATGTTAAGGGATCAGTGGGTCTATCCCCTCCCCAAATGGGGGCCATGAAACCAACCCACTCAGAGATATTGAACTTGAAACTTGATTGATTTCTGTGCTGATTGATTTCTAAACATATGTTTAGTACTGTATGTCTGTTGTAGCAGGGGCAGGATAAGGGTCCTTTATATTCGTGTTTTCCTCTCAGTCAATTAGTCAGTCAGCAGATCCTTTGCAGAACATCACTCTTTTCACGTCAAACCTGAAAATCTCTCTTTCTTCGCCAGTTCTCCAGCCCTATGTGCTTTCATAGCCAATGGATTTTCAGTGTCTTGCATCCACTTTGCAAAGGTCTGACTCTGCATTGTTTTATGGAAACTGTTCTTCTCCCGCCCTCCCCAACCCCACCCCTTCCATCACTGTTCCCTGCAGGCTGCCTTGACGTTTGACATGGGCAAAAATAGCATGGCTTCTGGACAGGATGTTGTTTATGAGCCAATTCTCCTGCATGCTCAGATGTAGGATGACAGTGTTTTTCTTCTGGTTACTTTGTCTGCAACATAAGAGTATTCTGTAATTTATCCAGGTTGTGACTTCAGCACGCAGCTGTCTTTGGCTACATTCTCATTAATGAGCCTGCCAACAAATCTCACTTGTATGTGGATGGTGAACAATGAACTGGGCACAGGCATCAGACTGAGAATAGACAGTGCATATTTTGATGATGTTCAGGACTACCTCCAGGTGAGGAATCTTGTTGCCATTATTGTTGTTTTTAAAATAATGCAGACACAAACATTACATTGCACAGTTTATGCCAGGCATACTGCACCACATCATTTCTGATACATACTACAGTTACATCAACAGATAATGAAGCACAAAAACGGAATAATTTCCACTAAAATCTTATTATCTCTCTCAGTAAATTGTGTTTATTTAATCGCTGGAAGTTTACGATAGTCTCCTGACTTACAAGGGTCGCTTCATATTTATAGTTGTTGTAAGCACTTTACTGTCTTTCCAGAGAATAGTGTTGTATTGTGTTTTAGGGAGGCATAGAGTCACAGCCCCTGATGATGGCAAGTACGACCAGCAAGACCAGCTTATGTTAAGAAAAGTCACCCCCGCTTATGTTAAGAAAAGTCACCCCCGCTTATGTTAAGAAAAGTCACCCCCGCTTATGTTAAGAAAAGTCACCAACGAATAAGAGCATGGCATTTTAGGACCATTATTGCCTTTACATCAATGTGCACATGGTGTGTACAATTTAAACTGTCAGGAAGGTTTGTGTCAGGACTCTATTGCTAGATGATTGCATTTGTCTTAAAGTTGTGGGTTTGTTTCTTGGACTACCTTGTTCACTCTTTCATTTGGGGGGGGGGGGGGGGGGGGGAAGACATAATACTTTACAAGTATTCCATAAAAGGAAACTAATTAGCCATTTGCTAAAATGAGAAGAGTTAGACTGAAAGGCAGATATATCACAGTCTAGCTGTAAACCACAACAGAACCTGCCAATCACTCTTTTAAGGGCTTACACAGAAGAAGAAGAAGAATGAGAAGAAGAAGAAGAAAAAGAATAATAAGAAGGAAGAGGAGGAGTAGAAGAAGAAGAACAAGAACAAGAATAAGAAGAATATCATTGAGAAAGAATGGTTTCATTTATGATATAATCTTTGTAATCACACATTGACTTTTCATAAGCAAACAACACTAATGAGTTAAAATAACGTATATGTTGGTCTGTTATTCCTCAGCTTTCAGTGATGACAGAAATGAACTCTTCCATGACTCTTACAACCTTCAACAAATCCTCCACCTTTCCTAAGGAAGAAAATACTCCTTATGCTGGTGTTACTTTTCAATACTTTTCCGATCTGGTTCGTCCTGGTAATATGATACAGGGTAGAATTTCAGCTGGTAAGAATGCTAAATAAAAATCAAGAATCATTATCAGTATCATTATCGTCTTTATTGTGACAATCATCATTGTCATCATCATCATCATCATCATCGAATTCATCATTATCTTATCGTCAGTGCCAAGTGGCAATGTTAGTTATGTCTTCCACCACACCCTTCTGTCTTGTGTACGTTCAGTCAGTTCTGACACACAGATGATCTTCCATACTATGCTGCCAAACTGCCCAGCATCTTATCTCTCGGTCTTCCTCTGCCTCTGTTTCCTTCCAACTTTCCCACTGTCATGATGTACTCTGGTTTTCTCCTTCCCATGACATGACCAAATGTAGATTGTCTTCTTCTGATGTGGGCAATGAGTTCTCTTCATGAGTTCATCATCACCACCATATTCATTCATTCATTCATTCATTCATTCATTCATTCATTCATTCATTCATTCATTCATTCATTCATTCATTCATTCATTCATTCATTCATTCATTCATTCATTCATTCATTCATTCATTCATTCATTCATTCATTATCCTGTTGTGCCATTATATGGCACATAGGGTTCACAGCAGCTTTGGCCTCTCTTATCAGCGTTTTCCGTAGGGTTTCTTTTGAACACCATATTCATTATCTGAAAATCATGATCTTGATCATCATAATACTCATCATGATCACCATCATTTACCTTACACATATATTGGACTGTCATATTTTGGGTCAGGTTTATTGATGAGATGTCTCTATCACACTCTGTAGATTATCTAGCATCATTTCCTTTAGCAGTGTACTTCCAAAGTAAAAAAATCTCCAGGTCCAAGATGTGTGTAAGGTAGTGCACTTGTGCTTACCCTGATGAAACAGACTTGGTTCTTTTAAGATTGGTTGATTTCGTACTTCATTTGTAAAGAACTTGTTTGCTTCATATTATTTAATTGTTTCTGTAGTCTGACAGAAACAGTGGAATATGCCAGCCAAAAAAACTGTGCAGTCTGATTTTATTGTCTTTTTTGTGCAAATTTGCAACAGGGGAAACATTACTTTAAAAATAATGGTAATGATAATAAGCGGCGTCCGTGGCTAAGGCGTTGCAATTCCGACTCGTAATCCAGCGTACCGCGATCGAAACCCACTGCTGGCTGCGTGGATTTTTATCATGGTATGGGGCGTCGCAGGTCGACCCAGCCTAAAATGGGTACCAGAATGGGCTGTCCTGGGAAAGTAAAGACAGCCGGCGTAATGCTGACCACATTACCCACCGAGTGCTGATGGTCTGTAAGAATATGGGCACTCTTCCCATATGCCTGATATGCCTAAGGCGTGAAAAGGAATCTTAACTTTTTTTAAAAATGATAATAATAATCATAATAATATGCTTATGGCAAATAAATATAATAATATATTTTAAATAATATGACTTGGAAAAAAGAAAACTTAAAAATGGAGCAACTGTACATGGTTAGGGTGCTGCTTAGTCTTAGGCCTCAAGTTGGCGAACTATACTAAAACTGTAGTTTATGGCATGCTGTGTACAGTGACAGTTTTCAGACATGACTGCTTGTATCAGCAGCAAGCTCCAGTTCTGGTGTGAGACTGTTAGTAGTGGCACATATGATGGCTGCGGAATGCATTTACTTTGCGTGCGCGAGCTTCACGTTTTTGTTGGGACTGACATGTTTTTTTGTTGTTTTTGTTTTGTTACTAGTTGTCTGTTTAGGACGGTGAAGGACATTTTTGTGTGATTTCCACTGGTACAAGAACAGAGCAGTTATGGGGCAACTTATCTGCTGTAAAATTAGAACTATTTTTCACAATTAATAAAGTATTTAAAAAAAAAACACAACTATAGTACACTTTAAAAATACTGACCAAAAAGGCAACACTATATTAGCAGTAATTCTTTCAACCTGAATAATTTACCAGAGAAATTGTTTTTTTTAAAAATGTGTAAACAGTTAAGGAAGTAAAGGAAAGGACCTTTTTCCCCATGCATTAAGACATATTAGGTACACAGTGTTAGCCAAATAATTTTAGATGCCAGTCAGCACTTGATGGGTGAATGAGTAAATGAAGCGGTCAAGAATTCACATCACCACATAAATCAGCACTTGATGGGTGAATGATTAAATGAATTGGTCAAGAATTCACATCACCACATAAATCAGCATTTGATGAGTGAATGATTAAATAAAGCGGTCAAGAATTCACATCACCACATAAATCAGCACTTGATGGGTGAATGATTAAATGAATTGGTCAAGAATTCACATCACCACATAAATCAGCACTTGATGAGTGAATGATTAAATAAAGCGGTCAAGAATTCACATCACCACATAAATCAGCATTTGATGGGTGAATGAGTAAATGAAGCGGTCAAGAATTCACATCACCACATAAATCAGCACTTGATGGGTGAATGATTAAATAAAGCGGTCAAGAATTCACATCACCACATAAATCAGCACTTGATGGGTGAATGAGTAAATGAAGCGGTCAAGAATTCACATCACCACATAAATCAGCATTTGATGGCTGAATGATTAAATGAATTGGTCAAGAATTCACATCACCACATAAATCAGCATTTGATGGCTGAATGATTAAATGAATTGGTCAAGAATTCACATCACCACATAAATCAGCACTTGATGGGTGAATGAGTAAATGAAGTGGTCAAGAATTCACATCACCACATAAATCAGCATTTGATGGGTGAATGAGTAAATGAAGTGGTCAAGAATTCACATCACCACATAAATCAGCATTTGATGGGTGAATGATTAAATGAATTGGTCAAGAATTCACATCACCACATAAATCAGCACTTGATGGGTGAATGATTAAATGAATTGGTCAAGAATTCACATCACCACATAAATCAGCACTTGATGGGTGAATGAGTAAATAAAGCAGTCAAGAATTCACATCACCACATAAATCAGCATTTGATGGGTGAATGAGTAAATGAAGTGGTCAAGAATTCACATCACCACATAAATCAGCATTTGATGGGTGAATGATTAAATGAATTGGTCAAGAATTCACATCACCACATAAATCAGCACTTGATGGGTGAATGATTAAATGAATTGGTCAAGAATTCACATCACCACATAAATCAGCACTTGATGGGTGAATGAGTAAATGAATTGGTCAAGAATTCACATCACCACATAAATCAGCACTTGATGGGTGAATGAGTAAATGAATTGGTCAAGAATTCACATCACCACATAAATCAGCACTTGATGGGTGAATGACTAAATGAATTGGTCAAGAATTCACATCACCACATAAATCAGCACTTGATGGGTGAATGAGTAAATGAATTGGTCAAGAATTCACATCACCACATAAATCAGCACTTGATGGGTGAATGATTAAATGAATTGGTCAAGAATTCACATCACCACATAAATCAGCACTTGATGGGTGAATGATTAAATGAAGTGGTCAAGAATTCACATCACCACATAAATCAGCACTTGATGGGTGAATGATTAAATGAAGTGGTCAAGAATTCACATCACCACATAAATCAGCACTTGATGGGTGAATGAGTAAATGAAGTGGTCAAGAATTCACATCACCACATAAATCAGCACTTGATGGGTGAATGATTAAATGAATTGGTCAAGAATTCACATCACCACATAAATCAGCACTTGATGGGTGAATGAGTAAATGAATTGGTCAAGAATTCACATCACAGTGCTCAGAACATTCACACATGTTTCAGAAGCCAACAAAGACCCCCCCCCCCCTACCCTACCCTACAATACTTCCAAGAATTTTGAGGTAGCTACTTAAGGCTTGGTTGACCTGTAAGCCTAGGCCAATAAAACAAACACATCCTGCCTCTGAATATGAATCTCCAACCTCATTGCATGACATGGGTGAAATGCATAGTCAAGCATGTCTATGCTGCCTTTGAGGCCGAGATAGGAGGCACTATAACCAGCTTCTCTTTGGAACAATCTGTAAAGATACCTTGGAGGGACTGCTGCATAGGGGGACTACACATATGAATACCCAGTGTGCAGTGACGTCGATTGTGGTAACATATAGTAACATCCTGTCTTGAATGTGGATTTGAAAACATGGCCAAAAGGCTGAAACTTTAGCATGCTAACCTTTGCATTACCACTGTTTTTATTAATGGTATAATCATCCTGTAGTGCCATTTATACATCACACAGAACATCCAAAACAAACTGGATTCATCCAGTCCACTAGAGTTCTTCGGCTGTAAACTCAAGTGGAAAGTTCTGATTGTTCATTCACCGCAGTACTTTGGTATTGATCCAGAATTTGAGTTTTGCATGCACATCTGTTTTACAGATCTGACTTATTTGTAAGCAGACTGCTGGTTCCTTGTCTCTCAGGCTGATGCACTCTTGACTTTGAAGGAAACACCTCTCATTAGTTGCTTCCTATGTCATGCTTGTCAGGGGGCAGTGGGTCTATTCGTTATTCTACAAAATGGAGCCCCAGATAAATAGTATAATTTTTTTCAGTTTACTAAGTTCCAATAAACTAATTTAGTTTCTACTTATGTTTTACCAGACTGCCTAGATATCAGTAACATGAACAACATGAATGTAACATTCAGCAACCGTGGCCAGAACAACCTGACCTACAGTGCTCAGATCGTGTGTGAGGAGGGCTTCATGTTCAAGCAAGAGGAGTACACGATGAGCATGCCACTGCTTGCTGTTTGTAATGAAGGTGGAATCTGGGATTGGGGGTCACCAAATTTCACTCGTACGCCAACTTGCCAAAGTAAGTTTGGTTCTTTCATAATAAGTCATCCCAGGTGACGTCACGTGGACAGTCCAATATTTTATAGGGTGGTAAGACCGGGTTTCCCCGCTTTGTGGTGCTTTTAACTACCTGAAAACATCTAGAACTGGACCTAACCCCAACCCACCTATGTCCCACGAGAGAGTGCAGCCTAGGTCTCACAACTGCGTGCAGCCTAGGTCCCACTACTGCATGCAGCCTAGGTCCCACGACTGCATGCAGCCTATCTACCACCCCTGAAATATTGGACTGTTTGTTTGGGGTGACTTATTATGAAAGCACCATAAGTTTTATTTTGCCTGCTTAATGTTACCAATCCTTATCATCAAAGCAATGTGCTGGAGTTTATTTTGCTCCTTTTTTTTAATTGTCTCACTGATACCAGGTTGTAGCCCAGTGCCATGATGTTCTGTATTTGTCCTGCGCTTCTTGAGTGATGGATTGTTCATCTTTATGCAGGTTTCAGCTACACCACTTGTCCATCTGTTTCTTGGTCTTTCCCTCACCTTTCTTCCAGCTATTCTACTGTTGAAAAAAAATCGTCTAATATGCAGTCTGGTCTGGCTGCATTCTCACTAGGTGGCCGAATCATAATATCCTAGTGACTTTGATTCGGACACGGTCTTGTCCCAACTTTCTCTTTAATGCTGGTATTTGTAACCCTGTCCTTTCTTGTGTTGTTAGTGACTTTAAGGAGATGGCACATTTCACAGGTAGTTGTTTTATGTTCTAGTGCCCTATTCAGTGTCCATGATTGGCACTGGTAGCCTAAAGTAGTGATAAAGATGCTATTAATGATTTGCTGTTTTGCTAGAAGAGATACATTTGGATATGTAAGCAGTGGGGCTAGTTGGTAGGGGACAACAAAGATTTACTTTCTTTTATTTAGTCCACTGTCTTTCTTCATGATGTTTACCTCCTAGTTTGAGAAACTGATTTAAAAAAATAAGATTGAAGTATCCAAAATATATATATATATATATATATATATATATATATTATATATATATATATATATATATATATATATATATATATATATATTTTTTTTTGGGATACTTCAATCTTATATTTTTCATATATATATATACAAACAAATTTATAGCAGACACAGTAAATTTTAAAATCAGACATATCAGCTTTGTTGTGATAAAAGTTTCGAATCAGTAATTTCAGTATATATAACACTCTCAAGAACCAGTTAAATTCATAGTATAAAGCTTCTAATATATTGTAATAAATTTGTCACCATGCTTTTTTTCACCATTGATGTCATTTACTTCTAAACTTATTAATTTTTTATCAGCACTTGCGTTATATAATGTTTGTAAAATTGTCTTACAGTTGTCTTTTGTGGATTTCCGCCACAAATACCTAATGGCTTTGTCAAGGATATTGGAGGAAATGTAACATACAAAACGGTAGCCACTTATCAGTGTTTTGATGGATTTGAAATGAAGGGGTTACCAAATGTGACGTGTGAAGCTAGAGGCAACTGGTCACAGGTTCCATCTTGTGAAGGTAAGAATTGCTTGTTTGATCTTCTTCATCATTCATTTACTGGCTGTAAACTCTGATGGAAATTTCTAATTGTTCATCCATTTGTAAAACCTGCAAAAACATGAAAATATCCATCACCCAAGCCACTCAGGAAACGCAAGACAAATACAGAAAACCATGACACTGGCCTACCACCTGGTATCAGTGAGACGACAAAAGAAGAAGAAGACCTCCATTTCTGGACTTTAGTCTTGTTCCAGAACTTAAGCATTGTGTGCACATCTGTTTTACAAATCTGGCTTTCTTATATGCCTATTGTTAGGTTCTTGCCTGTCAAGTGGATGCCTTCTGACTTAGAAAGAAACACCCGTAATTAAGTAAAATGCTAAGTGTTGGTAGCCGGTCACTAAGCATGATACCCCGACAACATAGGACAAGCCCTGCGACACAGTGATCTATGAATGGGAAGGGAAGTCACTCTCTTTCTGGGCCCAAAAATGTGAGTTTAACCAATTGAAACGAAGAATCTATTGTCAAGATATTTTGTCATGTTGAATTTTAGAAAACTATTGGTTTGCACAACAGACAAGTTTTTTTAATTAATTTTATTGTTTTAAAAAAAAGAAAAGCCTTTTAATTTTAGAAGGCAAATTTAAGTACACTTATGTTTTAATTATAAGTATATAACCCTTAATGTTCAATACTGTGCTGATTCACAGCTGAAAAGTGCACAGCAGTGCCCACAATTGCAAATGCAACCTACAACTTTACATTTGGTGATGGAAGTAACTTGAGTTATGGCACTGTTGTCAAGTACACCTGTGATACAGGCTTTGAACTGGTGGGATCACAACAGATTGTATGTCTGTCAAACAAGACCTGGTCTCATGAGGCGCCATCTTGCAAAAGTGAGATGTTTGTTGTTGTTTAATCGCTTATTGTGCTGTATTCATGATTTCATTTTTCATTATATATTACACACTATGATAAGTATTTTTTTTTAAAACACACACACACTCACTTAACAATCTATAATGCTACAATCTGTTACAATTAGTGTATAATCTGTACAAAATTAAATAACCAAAGATAACTTGTAAGTTTAAACAGGACTTTTTTTTCTGGCAGTATGCAGTGCTACTAGTACTGGCATTTTTTTGGTGGGGGGTCATGTTTTTCCGTTATAGACACTTTTGATGAGTGCCCCCCCCCCCCCCCCCCCCTTTTCCAGGAGAGTCTGTCATAAGGCATAAAGACCTGTGCAATGTATTTGATGCCCTTGGCATTTAACATCTCTTTTTCAGATATTATTTATCTGTAGTTTTATTTAATCCTAGTCTTTTATTTTTGTCAGCACTCAGACCTGTGTATTTATGTCTTTATTAAAAATAATTGTTAGTTTTAGGTTTATAACATCTCCAAGTTTTGTGAATGTGAGAAAGCTGATTGATACCATGTTTGTTTCCATTCATTACTGTCAGTTGGGCAAACAATACTAGCTACCTAGATGATGTTTCCATACACACAAAGATCCGGTGACTAGTTTTAAACTTGTAATATGGCACTAACAACACAAGAAGAGATAGTGTTACGAATACCGACATTAAAAAGAAAGTTGGAATACAACCAAGTCTTGATTATATTGACAAAGAATGAAATGGTTCAGCCATCTAGTGAGAATGCATTTAGACCAAGTTGTAAATGAGACTTTTTACAACAGAACAACTGGGAAAAAGGTGAAAGGAAGGCTAAGACATAGATAGATAAATCGTGTAGATGAAACCTGCAAAAAGATGAACAAATCCATCACCCATGTCACTCGAGAAGTGCAAGACAAATACAGAAAAACCACAACACTGGGCTACAACCTATCAGTGAGATGACAAAAGAAGAAGAATATGGCGTCATTCTAGAAACAGGTTCCTATCAGAGACCTGGCCAATGTAAATAGATCAAGATTTCCTTCAAAGTTGTAGCACACCTGCCTGGGAGGTGAGGAAACAACAGTCTGCACACAAGTAAACCTGTTCTGTAAAACAGATGTGTTCTCAACACTCAAACCCTAGACCAGCACAAGAGTAAAAGAACAGCCATAGATTTCCAGCAGAGTTCACATCTGGTAAACACAAGAGAAGACAAATTTTGTAATATATATATTTCTGTCTATGGTGCCCTGCCTGCTGTCTGTTAGTTAGTTAGTCTTTCCTCTTGTGTCGAGTGCTGCACATAGGGCAGAGGTCATGACTCTCCATGCTTGGCGGTTCGTTGCAATCTGTTGTAGGTCTTGGATGTTTGAGTGGCCCATGAGTGAGCCTTCCCTGATGATAGTAAATGTCTGTAAATGATGTCTAATTTTGTCTTGGATATTGACAAGCGTAATTTTTGTGTGTGTAAATAATGCAATTTATGACTGTTTACTCAACAAAAGAAAGCTTAGTAACAGATGTTTTCCTTTGTTGTATTTAAAAATGTTTACAAGTATTTCTTCTAGATATAGTTTATTAGTTTCTACTTTACAAAACTGATGTATGTATTATTTGCTCACACCTTTGATTTAACTTAAATTTTAGATATTCTACCTACAAGTGACTAAACTTGTCAGCTTTTCCATTGCTGCATATCAATTTCAAGTTACCTAACTTAATATAAAAATTACCACAGAATTGACATGTCCCCTGCCAAAAATACAACATGGCCAGTACCGCTCAACATCTGCAGTTCTGCCAAGTTTTGGGGAGACAGTTGGTCTGTTTTGTGACTCTGGGTATCAGATCAACAGAACAGGAACACCAGATGACACTTCTCTTATGTGCGGTTCTAATAGAACACTCAGTCCTGAGAATGATGTCTGTGTTGGTAAGTGTTATTACTTTTTTCTTATTTACAGTTAAAATAAATGTTAAATCAAGTACGTTCTAATGAATATTGCATGTTTGGTTTTTAATATTTTTTATTTTACAGCATAGGCAACAAAAATTTCAGTGAAAAACTCAAAAATATATACAACTGTCATATCTATGGTAGAAGTCTGTTGCTGAAAATCAATGGTCTCCAACCCGGGTTGAGGGCGCCCTTAGGGAAGGAAGGAAGGGGAGGGAGGTGTGAGGAAGTTTCAAGGGGGTTGTCAAGCAATTTTGAAACTGAGTACATTTCTACTTATAATAGTTAGGATTTTGAACTTTAACAGTCATGAAAAAAAACAGCGCTGTCAGCTTGATGTGGAGAGTGATCTCCGTTATGCCTCGTCCAGCATGAGACAAAAAAGAAAATAAATGCAGATAACAAGACAAAACAGTGTCCACCATCACATTGATATTTGGACACTAAATGACCAGTTGTTGTTAATTATTTATTTTGTGAGTATTTTTTTTTTCTTCAAATTTTTTGTTAACTGGTGCTTGGGATTTTCTTTTTGTCGTTCTCCTTTCAATCACATGGGGGGGGGGGGGAGGGGTGGGGGGGGGGGGTGGGGGGGGGGTGGGGGGGGGGGCCTTTCCATGTACTCAAGGGGTGTGGTAGCCTTGCCATGTACTTGCAGGGGGGAAGTGTTTGCCATCTGAAAAATGGTTGGAGACCACTGCTGTAATTGATTTGGTTTCCTGGAACTCAGGCTTGCTAGCTTGGCAGTCAGCCTTTTTATATATATATATATACACATTTATGTATTTTCTTCTTCTGCGTTCGACTTCAGTCATGCTACACATTGAGTCCCATCTGGGTCAAAAATAGGATTGTGCGTTTAAGGTCGCCACCGGTCCTCCATAGCTTCTCTCGCAATGTGGATCCCCTGGGCCAGATCCACAGTCTTTGCTGGGAGAGGTAAGGGCAGTACTGCAGTATTTGCTCAGGGGTCTGTCTTTCTGCTCCACAATCACAGGCAGCAGATTCTTTTATGCCTATCCTGTACAGGTGTGCTCGAAGACCACAGTGTCCAGTCCGAAGTCTAAAAATTGATGTTTGTTCTTTCCTGTTGAGTTTGTTTATGCTGTCACTCTCTGGTCTGTAATCTCTATTCTGCTTTCTCCACTCCCGCTTGAAAAGACTGCTTTAGTGCTGTTTTGGTTTCCTTGTAGCTGTGTGGTGGATGAGGTTGTGGAAGATTACTCCCAGCTTTTACCAACTCATCTGCTCTCTTATTTCCTTGAATACCACAGTGGGCTGGTATCCACTGCAAGACCAGTTCTGCTTCCTTGGAGAGTAAGCCAATGTTGGTCCTTAGATCTGCAATTAGTTTGTCTTGTTTTTTGCTTGATAGTGCTTGGAGAACAGACAATGAGTCACTAAGTATAACAATTTTGTGCCCTCTGTGTTCTTGAGTGATGAGATGTTGGACTGCAGAAAGGAGGGCAGTTGCCTCAGCTCTGAAGTTAGTGCAGATGTCACCTGCTGGTAGAGAGAGAGAGTACATATATATACACACGCACATATGCACAGAGAGAGAGAGAGAGATATTCTCTTATATTTTACAGTAATACTTTTTAACCGACAGTCTCATAGACCAAAAAATGGTGAATTGTTTGTCATAAATATTAAGCAGCTGTGCTCTGCACAATGAAGAATTGTAATGTCTTATTCATCTGTTTGTAATTTAAAAAAAAAATGGTTGATGTAAATGCAGTCAGTAGTATTTTAAATTTATGAATAACAATGGTCTATTGCAGATATTGACGAATGCAGTAGCACAAACTTGAACAATTGCTCAGCAACTCAAGAATGCATCAATAAGGAAGGATCTTTCACATGTATCTGCAAGAGCGGTTATAATGGAACAGATTGCACTGGTGGGTATTGACAAAATATCAGACCATCTTTGTCTCCCCCCCCCCCCCTTTTTCCCTTTTTTTCCCTTTTCCTACTTCCTTCAACATTCTAAGCCATTGAGGTTCATTACCACAAACATTCCACTATTAATTTTTAATGGAGACATATTGTGTAACAAACATCACTTATACTCTTTATAATTCTGTGTGTGTATATATATATATATATATATATATATATATATATATATATATATATATATATATATATATATATATATATATATATATATATATATATATATATATATATATATATATATATATATATTGTCAAACCATTTTTGCTTTCTGTAAAAAGTACGAGAGGGCAACATCAAGAGACAGATAAATAAGTGTCTCAGAGAGTGTACTACCACAGAGATGCAGAGAGCAGTGGAGATTAATTTCGCCCAATTTTTACTGTGGAGACAATGTCATTGATTGATTGTATTATATCTTAGACTCTTTTATGGTGTTTCCCTGAGACTTTTTAAGTACCTGTTCATTTGATGGTCTGTCTCACTCTCCAGCAGAACAGTTTTCATATGCCTAGCTTATCCTTCATTAACTTTTTGGGGGAAAAATTATACAAAGGTGTGATCAGGTCACAACCTAACAGAATTTTCAAAGAAGTAGGAAATAGATAAGTTTTGACCTCTGCTACATAGGTGAGGAACACCACTGAATGTGTAGCTTCTTCATCCTCATACTTGATGTTATGATATCCTGTTCCAGATTGTTTCTGTGCCTTTTCAGTGAAGTTTCACCCATTATCTTGAACATGAAAAGATATCAGTCCAGATAAGAAAACTAGTCCGCTTCTCATTATCACAGTCACAAAAGACAAGTGAACTTTCAGGCCAGAAAGTTGTCATCAGCTTAAGACATAAACAAGATTACTCAAAATCACTTATCTGTAAGTTGAGGTCTCTCACAGAAATATACAAATCACACCATGACTCTGAGTCACCTGTGGAAGTACTGGACAGAAAGAGGAGTCACATTGGCGGGATCGGCAAGGGTTATAAATAATATTTAGCTATCCTCCGACAAACGGTCGGCAAAGATGGTGGCGGCAAAATATCCAGCCAAGCCGCAGTCACGGGTCATTGCGTGCTTCCGGCTAATTCATGTGCGCTTTTCCGGCGACAATGGCTACCGCCACGTGGCCCCCACGCCGCATGAGCAGCGTGGATTGGGGCTAAACTAGATGGCTAGGACTCATGAGCAAAGCTGCAGGTGATGTGGAAGCTGCTGCTCGTGAGTCCTAGCTATCTAGTTTAGCCCCAATCCACGCCACGTGAGCGGCGTGGGGGCCACATGGCGGTAGTGGTTGTTGGCGGAAAACCGGCGGAAGACTGCAAATTAAGTAGCTGGAAGCGCGCAATGACCTGTGACCGCGGCTCGGCTGGATATTTTGCCGCCACCATCTTTGCCGACCGTTTGTCGGAGGATAGCCTAATATTTTTAGATAAAGCTATGTTGGATGCTAAGGCCCATTTGTTAAACTCTCACTTAGATTCATCTGCCTATACAGTCACATCATCTTGCAGTAGGTTTTTGTGTATCACCTGCTGCATGGATGCCTCACATTCACTTGTTATTGTCAAAGTTCTTGATTTTGAGTCCACACCAGAGCAAATTTTTTAATCGATTCAGAGCTTCCAAATTGACCCAGCCTAAAATTAAAATATTAAGGGAAGTAAAAGAAGTTAGCTTGATGCTTTTTAGCTTTAAAAAATATAGATTAAGCGCCGATATGCCAGACATACTCATGGCATAAAAAGATTCTTTACTTTACTTTGTTTTAAAAAGCGACTCACTGTTTTTCAGACGTGGATGAATGTGTCCTGGGCATGTGCAATCAGAGCTGTACAAACCTTCCAGGTTCCTACTCCTGCTCCTGCTATCAAGGCTACGTACTCTATACTGAAAATGGTACCAATGGTTTCTATATACCAGCTGGTGAAGATGGGCTGAAACCTGGCGATGTCTTCCAGATTAACAACACGTGTGTCCGTAAGTTGGATTTTATATTTTTCTTCCACTTGTTACATATTTTTTTCTTCTCTTTTATTGAAATTATGAACTTGCAGATTAACATTACAAACACACTACACTCATGCTACTGAAAGATACGCTAATAACACGGCCTAGAAATACTTACACACTAAACACATGATACACACACATATGTAAGCATGCATGCAAGCATGTACGCACACTCACTATACATTACATACATGCTAATAGCATTTACAAGGAATTGCAGTGAAATGTGACTAAAAAGTCTAACCAGATGGGTTAACCCATTTAGTTAAGCTTTTTAGTCACATTTCATTGGAATTCCTAGCCATTTAGTTAAGCTTTTTAGTCACATTTCATTGGAATTCCTAGCCATTTAGTTAAGCTTTTAAGTCACATTTCATTGGAATTCCTACCCATTTAGTTAAGCTTTTTAGTCACATTTCATTGGAATTCCTACCCATTTAGTTAAGCTTTTTAGTCACATTTCATTAGAATTCCTACCCATTTAGTTAAGCTTTTTAGTCATATTTCATTGGAATTCCTACCCATTTAGTTAAGCTTTTTAGTCATATTTCATTGGAATTCCTAGCCATTTAGTTAAGCTTTTTAGTCACATTTGATTGGAATTCCTACTCATTTAGTTAAGCTTTTTAGTCATATTTCATTGGAATTCCTTGTATTAGCTTGACTGCAGTCAACCCCATAATTTGACCTTTTTAATAGCATTTACACACATACACACATGCTCCTTAAAGTTACGCAAATAACACTAACCAGAAACACTAACACAAGCATGCATGCACACACGCATGCACACATGCATGCACGCACACACACACGCAAATGCTTGCACGCACACACACACACACACACACACTACACACATACTAATCGATCATTACACATGTAGAGAAAATGATGCAGTGGGAAATGATTAAACGACCGGTTCTAGTCATGTTAAGAGACAAAACAATGAGAGTAACCTCCCTTCCCATTGATGCCTCTATTTGGTGTAGGGCCTCTATTATGTTGCAGGGGTGCATTCTAGGTCGCTCAACTGTATGCAGCATATAATAGAGGCTGCAAACAGTCGTGAGACATAGGCTGAGGCTGTGGAGTAGGGGAGGGTTGGGGTTAGGCCAGGTTGTTCATGTTTTTAGACCATTAAAAGTGGTCACAACATAGAGGACGCGATATCGCCAGCCGCTAAAAACAAGGAGTAAAATATGACTACAACTCACTATGTCTGAAACCCCTCCAACATACTACAGGCGCTACACCAAATTGAGGCATCAATGGGAAGGGAGGTCACTCTCATTGTTGGGTCTCTTATCGCAACATGTACCAAAGGACCTAGCCGACACTATACTCAGAGGAGGGGTAACATAAATATAATCTAACTACTGCTGGTACCATCAGCATTAGAACTCTTTGCTGGCTGTTGAAGATGAGGACAGAGCACTTATGGGAATATCTCAAGTGTTGCCATGTTGGTTCATAACTTAACAGATGCTAACATTTATACACATGATGTACACACCCTACATACATATACTAATAGTATGTTAACATATGCTGGAAACAATTTAAACAAACATGCTAACACACTACACACATGATAAACACCCACACAAGTATTGGTTGAAGACTGTGGCTAGAAATCAGTACTGTGGTCTGGTATAATGAGTTGCCACTTATTGATTGGTAGGATGTTTGTGGCTTAGGGTTGTGAACATGCTTTGTAATTCCAAGGTGCCAGATTTGATCCCAGCTGCTGGTGATTTAGCAGCAGACCGCCTTACGTTGGTTTCAGCAGTGGTATTGAGATCCGACTGTTCAGTTAAGCAGTGGCAAACTACTGAAGATAAAATTGGCTAGTGAAATCACAAACAGAAGAATCATGCTGGAGTTAGTTGTGCAATTTCCTTTCAAGAAACCAGCTAACTGTATTGATTGACTTGGAGTTACAGTGAAGACTGGAGCAACTGTGGGTTTATCCGGAATACACTGATGATTAAAATCTCTTCCTCTCTTTTTCCAATAACCTCATCAAAGAGCTGGTGTTGAGGGGGGGGGGGGGGGGGGGGGGGATGGGGGGGTGTCAGGCCAGGCAGGCCATCTATGTGAGCTGGGGAAGATTAAAATTTCAAGCTTGTACAAGAAGTAGTAGACCAAGAAGAAGAAGAAGATCAACATCCTACATGATATGAACATGAGGAGTATTGGCTCATAAACAGCATCACAGCATCATTTCAGAGAAGCTGCAGTATTTTGGGCATCTTAAGCATCATCGTGGCCTGGAGAGAGTGTCGATTGAGGGGACAATTTTAGGAAGAAAAGGCAAAGGCTGCCTCCGCTAAGGTAGCTACAGGACATTGAAGATGCATCGGCTTTAAGAGCGCATAGGGCTGGAGAATGAGCTAGAGAAAGAAAGACTTTCAGGCGTGCCCTGACCAGAGCGACATTCTGTAAAGGACTTCATCATCATCATGTGCCCTGCCAACTGGCGTAGGCGCTCATGCGTTTCCACAGATCGCAATCCCTGGCTGCCTGAAACAGCTCTCTTGATGATATTCCTCCATGCCATCGTTTCAGCCTATCCAGCTCCAGCATCATCTCTCTTGGTCTGCCTCTACCTATTTTTCCACTGATCTTTCCAGTTGTCACAATGTTCTCCAATGTCTCTCTTTTCATTATGTGGCCAAAACAGTGTTTGTCTCTTTTTTTATTGTTGTATATAGAGATCTACTTTCATTAGCTTTTTTCAAGCAATCATTGTTAGTTACTCTGGGTGTCTAAGGTATAAGTAACATACGTCTCAGAAACCACATCTCTGTTGCTTCTAAAATCCTTCCTAATTTGTTTACTGACATTCCAAGATTTGCTGCCATACAGCAGAACAGGTTCTATGTAACATTTAAGCACCCTCTTTCTGACACTAAATGAGAGCGATTTATTTGCATAAGATATTTTTCATTTTCTGAAAGTCAGCTTTTGCTTGACCTATTCTGCTTTTAATCTCTGTCATACATTTTCCATCTGTCTGTAAAGGACCTGCTGATTGATAATCAGTGTTTGCTTGCTCTGCCTTCAGTGACTTAATCAAGTTGCAGTGGATGTCTTTTATTAGCAAAATTACGTATTTTCTTTTATATTTTTTTTTGACAGCTGTCTTGTGTATCATGGGACCTGAGCCACCTGTAAATGGAAAAACTTTAATGGTCAAGCAAACCTATTATTTTAATGAAACTGTTAATGTTGTCTGCAACTTTGGCTACATGTTGGAGGGTTCATCCTTTGCCACATGCCAGAGTGATGGTAACTGGACATACAGTGCTAATCCTGCATGCACAAGTGAGTGTAAACGTTTTATTGCTTTTTGTGTTCACTCTTTCAGAATGAAGTTGTTCGCTTTGCATTTTAAATATTGTGTTTTTGTGTTTACATGGACTGTTCAATATATAAGTCAGTGTCTTCAAAAGATGTTTTCCTTGTGTGTGTTCTAGGGTCCCATTGTAAGTATATGGGGGAGGGGGGTTGACGGGCAGACCTTAACAGGCATGTCAAAAAAGTAGACTTCCTTGTGGAAGTTGGAGTGACCTGCCTATGAGGCGGAAAAATAAGAGAAAGAAGAATAGTTGCATTGATTTGATTCAAGAACTGACATAACATCACTCGGGCATTCCAGTAAGCGCTTCGTCCCCATTTTTTCAGGAATTACCTGGACTCCCAGATCCACCCAGCCTCAAGGAGACACCAGATGAAATCCTGGCAGTTAAAAGGCAGCCAGTGTTGACCACATCACCCATGGACTGGTCTATAAAATGTGCGTCTGACACTATATGCCCAGTATACCCAAAGGTGGTGGGGAAAAAAATCCTTTATTTTTACTGTACATAATCATTTTACCACCACATAGTGAAGAACCAGTCAATCTGTCTGCCTGTTTATTTCTCAACACAGCTACATACATTGGAGAAATTATCTGAAATATCTTGCCTGTCAGTTAAATGATAAATACATTGCTGCTGCCACATATTTCATACGGACCATCTGTTATGCATCACTAGAAATGACCTGCCCACAACCCAACACCACTGAGCATGAAACATCCAGGACCCCAGTAACAGGGGACATAGAGCCAGGAGCTGCTCTCACAATCACCTGTCAACTGAATGATGGAAGTGGGAAATTCATCAACAAAAGCATGTTCTGTGCCCCAAGTCCCAGTGGGGATGGAATGTTTATGCTTCAAGGAGATGATCCAACATGTCCAGGTACTGTGATTGTTTTCTTGTTTGCATGTGTTATTTTCAGCTTTATTTGTTTTCATATTAGGTTGTTATTTATTAAAGGTCAGAATTTAGTTTTAACCAGCGTAGGTTGTGGTGACTGTACTAGTCTTGTAGCCCCTAATCCTCAGGGTCAAGACCCCTGTCTTTCACCACCATACAAAAGGGTTAATTTGGTAGTAAAGACAGTATTTAAATAATGTGGACGTAAACACCGCGCCAGTCGGCAAGGCACCTGATGATGATGATGATGATGGACGTAAACATTCCATTGCACAGTTTGTTGCTAGGCATATTTCACTGTATCTTGTCAGGTGCATTACCACAGTTACATCAACATAAGCACAAAAACTTAATAAAACCAACTGAAATGCGAATAGTCTCTTTCGATGCAGCTTGGTTTGTCTAGTCGCCGGAAGTTCACTGTAGTCAAGACAGTAGTTTGTGAAAGGAGTGTTTGGCCATGCCATTAGGATACCCACCTTGCCCACTATGAGATGTCAACTCTATTTTGTAGTAGAACAAGAGGTTTCTGTCCATCCCAGATTAAATAAAAACCCTAATCTGTATGTACAGTGTCCAATGATTGTGTGGGTAAGCCTTTTTTTGTTGTTCTCCCAGAAGACCTTACTGGCAAGCAGTGGCAGTTGCATCTATGCTGTAATAATTTTATTTAAAAATAGTTATTTGTTAAATGGTTCAGTATAATGTTGTTATACACAGTGAATGGATTATTTACCAAACCCCAATGTTAGCACCCACATACTTTTACTACATTATTATGATGTATGATTAGTACAACATACTGTAGTGTATACCAAATTGGTCTCCCTAAGTGAGTTCTGGGGCCTCATTAGATGTGCCAGAGTGGGGTAGAGAATAGACCAACTGCTACTTAACAAGCATGCCAAAAAAGGCAACTAATTAGGGATTGCTGAAATCAGATGTTTTGGGCTGAAAGGTACAAATATTGCAGTTTAGATGTAAACAACAATGCAGTGTACCAACTATTCTTTTAAGGACGGCAAACCCAGAAGAATAAGATTTATAAAATTAAAGCAAAATCTAGGGATTTATCAGATGTGCTCAATGTTTTTGAATATTTTTGTTACTTTTTTTTTCTCCAAAAATGTGTGCATGGTAAAGATTGGAATTCTAGGAAAATACATACCTGTGGACTTTGATGAAGTATTATTGCACTGTGATCTAACTGCTGTATTTTTCTAACTATTTAACTTATAAACACAGAAACAGATATTAAACAATGGCTGGATTGAAAAATTGTCTCTTTCAGATTTAGTCTTAAGAAATTGGGAAACCTCTATAAATATAATTTACTTAAGCAGGTCATATTTGTCCTCTGATAATTAAGTCAACATATTGTTTTGCAAGTGGCATTGTTGTTATAAAAACAATTGTTCTCATATGCATAGGGGGAAAAAAAATGCTTTTGTAATGTAATCGTGAATCCTAATTCTTGCCACTTTATCCAGATCCATCATTGCCCTATAATTTTTATTTCGTAATTTATAATTTGTCCTTTGCAAATTTTATAGATAAGTTATTTGTGTTGATAATCTTATGTTCATCAGAGGTCAACTGTGGAAAACCACTAGACATCCCCGGTGGGAATCCTGCTAATATTGATAACACAACCTATGGCAGGTCATTTGAGTTTTCTTGTGATGGCAGTAGAGGATTTACCGTGAAAGGAGCATCAACCCTAGGCAACACTACTGTTGTTTGTCAGAGTAATGGTCGCTGGGGTTATGCCAATCTGACATGTGAAGGTATTGTTTTATGATTTTCCCTCATTGTATCTGAACTATTTGCTGCAGCTTTAGCCAGCACAGAATGGACAAGATCAGTCCTGCAGTGCTTGTAGAGCTGTTGAAGACAAAATGGGAGCTTCAGTCAATCAGCCTAGATTGTTATACAAATAGTGCTCACAGTCAAAGACCCTATTCCACGCCTGCAGGCCAACTGGGCACATAGAGCTAGACCTATTTTTTCAAACCAGTTAGTACTCAGTGGGTGATGTGGTCAGCTTACAAGCACTTTACCTGGGACCCGTTCAAGTCTTGGTCAACCACACAGCCAAGGCCATTTTTGGAAAAAATAGGTCCAGCTCCGTCAGGACCCAAACTGATGACTTTCGATCCACAGGCGAGCTTCTAGCCACCACACCCTGGCGGCTGTCCGTGATAGTCCTCATGCATCACTTCATTGCTGAAAAATTATAAAGGAATGTATATTTAAGTTAGTTTTACTTTAACAAATAGTGCGTTAGTAACTTAACATTTGAATAACCATCAGAGAATGAGAATGATTAGTTATTTTAAATTTTTTTTTGAGTTATTTAGGCAAGATCCGTATGGCTATGGATCTACCTGGACTCCTAAACTGATATTGCTCCTGAAATCATTTTTTTAAAAATCATAAAGGAATAAATATTTAGAACACTGAGTTATACAGATAAATTATATTTATTTTACAAAATAGCACTTTTATTTATTGCAGTGTATAACACTTATTTATTACTTGCTGTTTGTTTTAACTTTATTTATTCTTCTGTTTTCTGTGAATTCTGGCAAATAGTCCAGGTTGGTTTACAGTGTCTTTACTTTGATCTTGTTCCAGAACTGGAATGTTAGGTGCACATTCATTTTCTAGATCTGGCTTAATGTGCAGAAACTTGAACAGTGAACAGGCAGCTTGAACAGTGACTTAAGGTTATGGAAATGTAGATATACAGAATAATAGGTGGTATTTAATGGGGGGGGGGGGGGGGCAATCAAATATGGCAGTTCTGGAAAGACTGTGAAGAAAATGATTTACTGCGATAATAAAAGGGGGAGGGACAACTGAAATATTTTTGCCACATTAGACATAACTCTGTTAAAAACGAAACTGTAGGGAAATGTCGATGGCAAGTAGGCAATAGGTAGACAATAACAGTGGAAGGACAACATCAAGAGATGGGTGAACAGCAGTTTGAGAGAGTTTAGTACTAAGATCCATTTCAGCCAACTTTTACTGTGGAGACAGCATCTGATTGATTCCTCACCTCTTAGAAATATAAACACCAACGTATAAGGATTCATTGATTCTAAATGCACCCGCAAACTTCCTGGTGGGGAACATTTCTAGGATGACCACATAGAGGTGTAGACAGATTTTGACCAGGATAAATTATCATTGTTGGTATCTTAGTTCACAGAAACTGTTGCTGGTTTATGTGATTAATTGCTGTGCACCTACTGATGTGTTTCAACTGCTGCTTCCATCGACGTTGAATTGCATTTATAGTTTTGGACTGTTTGTGTTGGCACTTCTGACAGCTGCCTAATGCATTTAATGTGTGCGTATGCAATAGGATTTGTTGAGACTGCAATCTTTGTCAGTTTTTCTGCAAGGGACGGTGATGACTATTCTGTGTGGTTCTCGTTGGCACAGCAACAGAGTAAATATGGAGTGGCCTGTTTACTATGAAGTCAGAACTGCAGTTACCTGAAAACCTGATATCCTAATGTTATACTTTCTATTTCTGAAGGTTCCAGATGTCAGGACCCTGGGACATTGGCTGGAACAGCTCAGATTGTGAAAACAAGCTATGAAATAGATCAAATAGTTCAGTACAACTGTACAAAGCCAGGTTTTACCACTGTTACAAATGACACTCTGGTGTGTGAATACAAGAATGGTAAAGCACAGTGGAGTGCTGATCCCCCTTCTTGTGAAGGTAAATAGTCTTCTTCTTTTTCTTCTTCTTCTTCACTTTCTATCTTACCACTTTGAGTGTTGAGGGAGATATAAGGTTCTGCTTTGTGCTCTTCTGACCGCCTCAGCCTTAGATACATCAGACTGAGTTTCTCTTATTTTATCGTTCCTTTTTTTTGTCTACCTTATGCTGTACATTGTTCTCCTCTTTTGATGTAAACCTTGTATGATAGGCTTTACAAGGCATTCTCTACAGGTGGGCAAACCATTCTCTTCTTCTTCGATTTTTCTGTCAGAAAACCTACATCATGAGGCCGGTAGCCTTTATGAAAGCTATCGTGCAGTCCCTATCTTCTCGTGCACCATACAGCTTTGTCTTCATTGTGGTTGGAACAGGCCAGACTGCATCTGTGTTGTCAGCATACAGTTGACAGTGTTGGAGCACATGCTCAGTAATTACACACTGCAAGGAGACGTCTCCATGTTTCCTACACCAAAAAGTTTGAACATATGTTGATGAAGTCTGTTGTGCTCTGTTCTTAGTCTGAATATAATACATTGTCCCTCTCTAGAAAGGCAGTCTGATTAGTTATCTACAGGTAAATGTTTATGCAATCTGTTGTTTGTTTCTTCTTTGTTTGGACAGTAAATAGTACATTATAGAAATGTGCTCTTTGTGTGTATATTTATTGTATGTGCCTTATGTTGCTAGTTTGTTAGCTGTTGCTCTAACTTCACAGCAAACCAGTCATGTGAAAATTAATCCATTCTTCTGCGAGTTGAAATCACCCAGCATACCCTTTAAAATCTAGAAGCTTGCACACACAAAGTTATATGGCATTTATGTCTCAAAGATATGATTAATTTAACATTTTAACATCCACATGACTGTGACTTACACATTGAATTGTTTTAAAGTATGGAAGAGTTGCACAATGTTTTGGCCAGAAGAAAAAATTGCTTCAAGGGCATGCTAAAGGAATCATTTCAGGCCTTCAGTATAAACTCTGACACACGGGAGGCTGCTGCGCAAGATCAGGCAGTATGGTAAACAGTAAGAGAAGAGGCTCAGCAACTTGTGAGGCATCTTGAAAAAAAGGCAGCTGAACAGTAAAGAGAGGCTTGAAAGACTTGTATAACAGATCCTTCACCTACAGACACTGTTCCCTGCCCCTGTTGGCCTAGATCCTTCTGGGCACCTACTGGGCTTATAAGTCATCTCCGGACTCACAACCAACTGTAGTTTCATGATGGATGGAAGAAAGTGTGGTCATCATCACTTGCGTTGGATGAAGGGCATAACATAACATCCACATACAAGTCTTCAGTTGTAATGATTTACACAATAGGCTGTTTGTATATTTGTACCATTTTGTTTTATATATGTGTACTTTTTATGTGTGATGTGTGTTAAACTTATTACTATGAAATGTTTTTTAAGTATAAAAGAAAGTAAAGAGCCCTTTTTAACACCAGTAATTCTAAGACCAACTGGCATTTAATATTTGGTGTGGTCAGCATCACACTGGCTGCCTTTACCTTCCAGAAACTATCCTGGTATCCATTTTAGGCTTTGTCACACTAAGCAGCCAAGGTCAGATTAAAAAAAAAAAATATGTTTATATACGGATGTGAAATTGTGTTGTATAATTTTTTTTTTTTTAACTGATGATTTCAGATACCATTTCTCACATGAAAGAATGTCTTTTTTACTGTTTTTAGATAAAGAGCAATGCATTTGCTGATTTGGTGATGTGTCACTCTGATAGACCAGTGCGCTTGCTCACTGTGATAGTGCAATCCATTTGCTCCATTTGCAGTCCATTTAATGTGTCACTCTGATAGAGAAATCCATTTGCTGATGTGTCACTCTGATAGAGCAGTGCATTTGCTGATGTGTCACTCTGATAGAGAAATCCATTTGCTGATGTGTCACTCTGATAGAGCAATCCATTTGCTGATGTGTCACTCTGATAGAGAAATCCATTTGCTGATGTGTCACTCTGATAGAGCAGTGCATTTGCTGATATGTCACTCTGATAGAGCAGTGCATTTGCTGATGTGTCACTCTGATAGAGCAATCCATTTGCTGATGTGTCACTCTGATAGAGCAGTGCATTTGCTGATGTGTCACTCTGATAGAGCAATCCATTTGCTGATGTGTCACTCTGATAGAGCAGTGCATTTGCTGATGTGTCACTCTGATAGAGCAGTGCATTTGCTGATGTGTCACTCTGATAGAGCAATCCATTTGCTGATGTGTCACTCTGATAGAGCAGTGCATTTGCTGATGTGTCACTCTGATAGAGCAATCCATTTGCTGATGTATCACTCTGATAGAGCAGTGCATTTGCTGATGTGTCACTCAGATAGAGCATTGCATTTGCTGATGTGTCACTCAGATAGAGCAATCCATTTGCTGATGTGTCACTCTGATAGAGCAGTGCATTTGCTGATGTGTCACTCTGATAGAGCAGTGCATTTGCTGATGTGTCACTCAGATAGAACAGGGCATTTGCTGATGTGTTATTTTGCTAGACTATGCATCGTTGTTTCAGTCTTTGACTCTAAAATAAAACCCACTATTATTTTCAGTCATCATACAGAAATCTGCCATAGCAAATTTGTCACATCTTATCTCTTGTTTTGTGTGTAGATAAGGTACCTCCAATGATCACATGCCCTATAGTGCAGCCATTGGATCTGTACAGCACATTAGTGTACCCACCTCCCGTTGTAATGGACAACTCAAACACCACCTGTTTTCTGACCGAGTCTGGACCTCCATCTGGAGACTCATTGGTGTCGGGTAATGTGACAGTCACATACAAGGCTACTGACACTCGGAACGAAGCTGTGTGTGAATTCAATGTCACTGTAAAAGGTATTTATAACTAGATCTTTGCTGTGATTTTATATTAACTCTTTAATGTATATTATAGTTCTCATCATCATCAAGTACCTTGCCGACCGGCATGGACAGTCATCCCTTGCTGCAACTCGGGATTTCTAACAGCATAAATTAGTTCATGTCGTGATTCGCTTCCAGGCCGTGATAAAAGACTGACAAGAATCTTCTCACATTGTCTTCTTCCATTTCACTGTCCGCAAATATTTCCATTTCTCACTTGTTGTTTCAGTTTATTTATTCTCCTAAAGCGGCCAAAGCATGGTGTCTCCTGGTGAGCATATCTTGTGTTTTCTGTCCAGAACTGTTTACTTTGCACAGTTATATACAGTCTGTAGCTGCAATAATTTAAATGTAGCGTAGCCATAGTAATTTTAGTCAGAGAATATAAGGAAATCTGGCTACCAAACTGGCCTTATCCTCTGTGTTAAGTCTTATGATAGCTTTCATAATTATTCTCCCCTTGGGCATTGGCTGCCAAATCTTCTTTTACTGAAAGAGCTAAAATTATTTCGTAATTTTTGTTTTATTTTGTTTTGTTTTCAGATCGAACAGAACCAGCAATTCAGTGTCCTTCTGTAATTCAAAGAGATCTGGCTGGCAGCAAAAATGAGTTTTTCAACTTAACTGAAGGCCTGCTGGTGTCCCACTCTCAGGACGGCATGATAATGTTTAACCCCATGGGTCCTTTGAATCTAACAATGGAAAGTGTGATTCCTGTCCGGGCAAAAATTACTAAACTGAATGGTCTTTCCAAGGAATGTGCTTTCTTAGTCAATGCAAAGTGTGAGAATTTGTTTGTATAATTATACTGCTGTATAGACCATTTATTGTTTGCACTAACCATTAAGTCTTTCGCCTTGAGAAGCCAAAATCTGACATTTGCGGTTGGAGTAAATTCTCTGTGAATGTCTTTTTCCAGTTTGCCTATAGTGACCTATTTACGAGATGCATAATAGTAAATACTGTTTTCCACGTTTGTGCCTGCACAAATGTTTAGGGGGTCTGGATCATCATCATCATCATGTGCCCTGCCAACTGGCTGGTTGCCTGGAGCAGCACTCTTGATGATATCCCTCCATGCCATTGTTTTAGCTCATCCAGCATCATCTCTCTTGGTCTGCCTCTACATCTTTTTCCACTGGTCTTTCCAGTTGTCACGATGTTCTCCAATGTCTCTCTTCTCATTATGTGGCCAAAGAGGTCTGGATATTAGTTCATTAACAGAAGCCTAAGTGATAGAGGTCATGGGGTCATAGCATTAAGTCATTGGATATATTTTTTTTTTTAGGCCGTGATTTATGTATTCTATTTAATGTATCCCCCTAACCACCCATCAACTAACGAGGGTCAGTTTTTGGACATCCCAGAGTGGAAGTTGTTTTAAACTAGTCTGAATATGATAGTCTAGTTCAAGTGTGACCTTCTAAGAAGTTTGAAAACCCTGACTGGTCCAGCAAACCGACAGTGGTTAAATTGTTGCTCGTAGAAAATGGAGAGATCTCAGTGGACACTGTCTTCGGAAGACAGAAGAAAAATAGTCACGACAGAATTGAAATGTGTACGTACTATGCTAGGTGTAACAAGGAAAGATCGACTTAGGAACATTGATATCAGGAGCAGAGTCCGCACAGAACCAATACTGATATTTGTAGGTACACAACAAAGCAAATTGTTTGGCCATGTAGCAAGACTGGCATTTGACAGGGCACCACAGAGCAATGTTATAGAGATGCAATGGTAACAGTGCTAGAGGTTGACCACACAGAAGATGGACCGCAGAAATATCAAAGACACTAAAATACTAAGCGAACAGAAGGACTCGTTCCAAAGATCTCTTCCTGCCTGATGCCGCAAGACATTCTAGGAGTAGAGAAACGAAGAAGTATAACCTTGTCAGTGTTTAATAATTACTGCTTTCATATGTCTTTATATGTTTTGAAAAATGTTATAGGGCATAAATGTTTTTTACTAATTTATTAGTGACTTGCGTAAAAATAATTGTTGTTTTATGGATTTCTGTCTGGAATTCTAACCAGGCCAGGCCACTTTTTAAATTTTTTTTATGTAACTGAGGTGAAAGTGTTAACCCTTTTGCCCTATGAATGTTGAAAAAAAAATAGGTTATAAACCTGTAGGAATTTCCTGACCAACAAAAATTCACACAGAAAAAAGCCATATTACACAGGCCTCTAATAAATTTAAAATAATTGCATTAGTGTTTAAAAAAAAAAAAAATTCCTTACCACAGTTCCTTCCATGTAACTTTCTATAATGTTTATAATTGGGTAACTTTTCCAACTACTTTGATGAGGGAAAGAGTAGTCGGTGAATTGGGGGAGGGGGATGGGGGGTAACATAAACTGTTAACTGAGATAGATTTAAGTCACAGTAACTGCCTTACCCACTCAAAGTAGCAGCAGTAGTAGTAGTTGTATTTGTGCAGTTGCACTATAGGGCTGTCATGCCGGAGAGCTGGGTTTGACTGCCGGAAAGGTGATGCCGTTTTGGGAAGGATACAAAGACTACAGGAGTGAAGACATCCTACATCGCTGGCGTGAAACGAAGCAAGATTTCTATTTTCTTTTTTTTTCTATTTAGCCAAACTATGCCACAGCAACGGGTGGCCGGGTACAGCTAGTAATTAATAAAAGGTTAATCACATGACAAACATTCAAGAGGTGGGGAAAAATGAGAGGGATATGATGTTTCTTATAAAGCTTCTGAGTTTTGATTCTATGAAAAAATATCTGCCACACTTGATTAACTTTTTATTTTATTTTTTATATGTGCACAGCTAAGTTAATATATACATTTAGATATAGTATGACCATACAATATGACAGCTTTAAAGTTGGTCATTATAGCAGAAAATTACTAAATAAGGTTTACCAATTCACACCCAAAAAAATTTCAAGTTTGCAAAATTCTAAAGAACACATCTCTTAATTTTAGCTTCGGTCTGCATGAATGATTCGCTGGTCCCTCCTGAAAATGGAAGAATCGAAGAGTGTACTGGCGATGGCAGCAGCCTGACTTGTAAAGATGTCTGTGACAAGGGATACCTATTTCAAACTACCTCCAATTCAACCAGCTACACCTGCAGTAATGGAATATGGGAGACTAAATTTCCAGTACTTCCATGCATCAGTATGTATTCTTTCATGTTGTCTGCTAGTTAACTCATATCTGATCATTAATCACTCATTCAATCAGGTGCCATCTCCACAATGAAGTTTGGTTACAATGAATCTCCAATAGACTAAAAAAAATTTCTTTCAGCTTTTCATTGCAAGACTTTTCAGAACCTAACCAGTGACAGTGATGTAAGAAAATATTTGAGTCACAAAAGTTTAATAATGATGAAATGGCTTTATTTCTTCATACCAGAGGTAGCAGATCCTGGGGACATCCCACTGAATCCCCCTTAACAGTTTGTAAAAAAAAGAAAAAAAAAGTGGGTGGGGGGGTTAAGGAACCCCTTCTCCCCACATCGTATTGAAGTCTTCACTTTAAAGTAATTTATTTAAGTTAGTTGCGTATTCTTTACCAGATGTTGCTGAACCGACCCAAGCATTTTTTGGCTGTTGTGCCAGTAGTTTGCCATTGCTTTCTGGACAGTCAGCTTCTCGATACCATGGTCAAAACCAACGCAACGCCCGCTGGTGGGATCAAACCCGGCATCCCGTCATTATAAAGTGCGTTCGAAACGCCTAAGCCACAATTTATTTATACATTTTATATTATTTCAAATATTTTATATTTATTTGGCAATCAGCAAGTTATTATTATTTAAATTATTGTCTGTTTAATGCAGTTAATTGTCTCTCTAATAATGCACAAAAGATGAGTGTCTGAAAGGGCTGAATGTAAGAATAGCTTCATGCATAATTTTTTATCCTTGTAAAATAGTTTCTTTTTAGTTAGTTAGTTAGTTAGTTAGTTAGTTAGTTAGTTAGTTAGTTAGTTAGTTAGTTAGTTAGTTAGTTAGTTAGTTAGTTAGTTAGTTAGTTAGTTAGTTAGTTAGTTTGTTAGTCGTTAAGGTTCCGTCATCACAGCAAACGAGCTTGGCCCATAATTGCTCAACCGCCTATGCCAATGATTCCAGTCACAAACTGAGTCAGATACGCTGGATACTTCAAGTGAATGCCAAAGCCATTCAAAGTGTCCTCAGTCAGCAAAACACACACGATTTGATCTGGTAAATCATAAGGTGCATGCCTTCTTAAACACACTGAGAGACCAGGCGTCATTGCTTAAAATCAACTTCATTCGATGAATAGCTGGGCCATAAGTAGATTAAAACTATTCCTGACCTTTCTCCACATGTCCTCGGCCAAGCTGCAGCCACGGCCAGCAAATAAATATCAGCTCTAGCACACACCTGGTCCCAGGAACACAACAAAGAAAAATACATCACCCATCATTGCCATTATGTATGAATATGGAACTGAGTCAATAACTGATAATCACAGCTCATAGTGCCGCCAGGAGCACTAAACTCAGTAGCTCCGGCTGCAAACCGGATTTCCACAATCTTGCAACATCAAAACTGGAGGCAAAACGGCGACAGGAATGGTCAACATAAGCCAAGTTCTCAACCGTAATCCATTCTCTATCAGTGTCGGAACCAGAAGTCTGTTTGTCTGTCTCTAAATAAAGTTTGTTCTGTCTGTCTGTCTGTCTGTCTGTCTGTCTGTCTGTCTGTCTGTCTGTCTGTCTGTCTGTCTGTCTGCCTGCCTGCCTGCCTGCCTGCCTGCCTGCCTGTCTGTCTGTCTGTCTGTCTGTCTGTCTGTCTGTCTGTCATACAAAATGAGTGTGAAAGATGGGTGTTTGAGAGTGCTGAATTCAAGATGGGCATGTGTGCCCAAATTGTGACCCTTGAAAAATTAAGTTCTTTCGTTTATTATAATTTTCATTAGACTAAATTTTAATTATTGTAATGTGTTTTAGTAGATAGGTCTAGTAATTGCTTCATTTAAGTTTTTTGGTTTTTGAAGGTTCCCCGCCCCCCACCCCCCTTTCCACCCTCCAAAAAATTATCTTTGAATGAGTATCCATTTCCTTTCATACAGGTAACCAATCTATTCATGATACAAAGCTAAAGGCTGAAAGAAAACCAAAAGCTAAACATTCTAAAGGTTCTGTTCATGATACACAAGTCTTTTGTCGGCCTACTTTGTTTATTCCAAATGAAAGGTTACACCAGTATTTTTTGGAACAAAGCACGCTGAAGAAGCTGTGGAATCAGAAAAAAAGTGCGCTGTTAGTCCATCTCTTGGAGCTTAAATCAAACTTTGACTATAGCCGCAATACTCTTTCATTTCGTAGTTGACATACTGCATAAAAAAATTAAATGTCTTGAGTGGGGAAAATAATTCATCTTGTATTGCTAGATCGTATTATACAAGTGTAATTATGAAATTATAGACATATCAAGTTAGCAAGTCTATTTCTTGCTCTGATAAAGGAGTTTATTGCTTGAAAAAAATGTATTTAAAAAGAAACAATTTCTACTTAGAAAACTGTCCTTACTGTTTGCATTTACAATTTTTTCAGAGTGATGTAACTTGTTTAGGTCCTAAATGTGAGATTTAGGACTGCATGGCTATGGCAAGTGTAGTTTCCCCCCACCCGCTTCCTTTCTCACCCCCCTTCCTGTGCAAGCTAGAATTTTTAATTTTTGCTAGATAAAAGATAAAAACAACCTTCCTTCACATTACTGAGGATCCAAACCTGATCTATAAAATGAGAACCCAGCGTTCTAACTGGTCTACCAGCATTTTCTCTATGTACATATAAGTGAGACAGTATACTAGCTGACGTAATTAGATACAGTAGCTATAATGCCTTCAGCCTCATGCTGTTGTGCAGTTTATAAGTCACACAGGGTCTGCAATATATTCCCCTATTGCATTCTTTTCTGTCTTATTTTCAGTTATGCATGAAATCGAGTTCAGCATCTCTGGCTTTTCTAAACAGCATTTGTGGTGGACTTTCTCTTGATTGTCTTCCCTTTCTAGAGCCAGCTCTTTCTCATTTCAGTCCTTATTTTGTGACTTTTAACTATACATTGTTCCTAGATTTGCATTTATGATATGTTTACGATAAAGGACAAGCCTGCATTATTAACTATGTTAATAACACACTGCTATATTTCTTTTCAGAGTTGTCAGGCCCAACATTTGACTTTGATGTGACGTTACAGTACATATTCAATGGCAGTAAAATAACACAATCAACACAATCAACCAACTATGACCCTGCAATTTGCTTAGCTCAGCATTCCATTTCATTGTCTCAGATTTTGGCAAGCAAGAGTGCCTGTGGTTATAGCAACTTCACAGCTGTAAATGTTAGGAGAGTCCGTGAAATTAGTTCAGACTCGGTAAGTAATTTTTACATTTTATCATGGGCAATTTAAAATTAATTGGAATTCATTTTTCTCTATTGAAGAATTGTTGGCTTCCAGAAAACCTTTTTTACTGGCTGTTTTTACAATTTTTTAAGGGAAAAGGGGGGGGGGGGGGGGGGGGGGGGGGGGGGGTTGAAGAACCGAACATCTTACATCTTGAATCTGAGGAATTTACAGCCACATGGTTGTTGCAACCGCCTCGAACTGTGTTGAATACTAATACATGATATCAATGAATGGAAAATTTGAACTACTTGTCATTAAGCATTCCCTGGCTATAAACTCCAGCAGAAAATCCTTTTTGTTTGTCTACTTCTGGACTTTTGTCTTGTTCACAAATTTGAGTTTTGCATGCATATCCACCTTTACAGATCTGGCTTGTTTGTGGACAGACAGTTGGTTCTTGGCCTCTCATGCAGAGGTACTCTGACTTTGAAGGATATGTCAGTCCTTGCTACATTAGCTAGGCCCCCCAGTAGGGAATCTGTTTTTAAGATGACTGCTGAGAGGTGTCCTTAAGCTGTAATTCTCTCATTTAGAAAAATAACAACAACTGAGCTATAATTCCTAAAATTAGAACAAACATTATCAAATGTACCTTTATGCCTAAGAGTTGTGGACATGTGTGAATCCAAGAGGTTGAGGGGGAAAGGGTGAATAAAGCAAGAGGATCACTTCATTGCACTGGGTTTTATTTATTCTTCATTGGCTGCTCACATGTCAAGCATCACACAATGCACACAGTCCTCAAAGTTCCAGCAGTTACTGCCCACCCCTCCCCCTCCCCACCCCAAGGGATCTCCAAAACCCCTGAACTCGTTAACTGAATGGTGGAGTCTGAAACTGAAACCACAACTTTCAGAGCATCAGACTCAGCAAAGATTAAGGTAAATCTATAGTACATGATCAGAAGGTATGCCAGAGAGGAATTAGATTAGTGTGGATCTAAGAAAGATTCGGTGAAATAAAATAAAAACGGATGTGTGAACGCAGCTTTAATCATGATCATTTTCAGCTTGTTCAGTAGAACCAATGAATTTTTAATACTGCAGGTTTGAGGAAAGGTTTGTAGAGGAAGATAATTACAGGGGAATCAAGGGAGAAGATGAGTACAGTTTGGCGTCATGATATGGAGCCTCCTGTCTGTCAAAATTGATTACAGTTACATGATAGAGAAGGTCGTAGTAAGACATTAGAAAGAAATTACTACCAGCAGTATATGAAGATTTTTGTGGGACAAATGAAGAAAAAAAAAAAATTCATTACTTTCAGTGTCATATTGTTATGTGAATTAGAGCATGCAAAAAGCCAGTTAACAATACTTATATTATGTATGTCATTCACTATATGTTTTCCTGGGAAGTAAAATTTAGCCGGCGTTATTTTGACCACATCACCGACTTTTTGCTGTTTGGCCTTTTAAATATAAGTCAGGCACTATATGCCCAATATGCCCGAAGGTGTGGAAACGGATTCTTTACTTTGCTTTACTGTATGTTTCAGGATGAGCTGTTTTTTACACTTCAAGTGTTGACAACTCAAGCAAATTCAGACAACAGTCTAGCAAACTGTGCAGTGACCTTAAAGGATCAGTCTGCAAACTTATTTGGTCCCACTAACCCTGCCACGGGCAACAGAACTTGTTTGTCACCGTGGAATGTTGATTCAAATAGTGTGATCATCGTGACAAAGAATATGTCTTGTAGCAGTAACTCAACAATGGTAAACTACGATGGAAAAAATTATTGTTGTAAGTACGCTAATTAATGCCTGAAAGTCTTTCTTTCTCTAGCCAGTTGTCCAGCCTTATGCACTTTCAGAGCTGATGCATGTTTAATGTCTTGTATCCACGTTCATGGAGGTCTTCCTCTGTCTTGTTTTCTGGAAACTACCCTCCATCACCGTTTTTCCCAGGCCAGAATACCTCAGCTTTCAAGATAGAATGCTGTTTATGAGCCAGTTCTCCTTGATTCAGTACTCTTGATCAGATGGAAAGAAATCATTTATTTATTTAGATGGTCTTAAACTTTTGACCCCTGCAGATTTAAGAGAATGTTCAATATCAAAAGCAACTACACCATCAAAGAGAATTATACCACTTTTCCATTGATTTCCCATAAGTCTTTGCTTGAGGTTGACATAAAATATTGTGGTAGACAAGCTTCTTGAGAATTGTGAGCCTCTGAGGTTCATTAACTCTCTGAGTCCCAAGGAACGCATCATACGTTCATAGATTCCTACCTGGAAGCCCAATGAACGCAAGATGCGCCGATTTTATGAATTTTTTTTACTATCCCTCGGGTCTGTGATGCTAAAACCCCTAGGACTCAAAGAGTTAAAGCAGATATCACCACCTTTTTTTCATTTGATGACCTCCATCAATCTGACTGTATATAGATCTGCCTGTATATTTTATTAATTTTTATCTCTCACTGTCTTCTTGGTCTGCCTTGTGATCTACTCCCATTCACCTCTTTTGTGTGTACAGTTTGTCTCTATTATCTGCCACTATCTTTGTATGCCCCAACTATTGGAGTCTATTAGCCCTCCTGAAGCTAGTAATTAATGGTGAATTTAAAGTTTATGAATTTCATTGTTGCTTCTCACTTTCCATTATATGCTGTTTGCAAGGCAGATAAAGATAAATTGTAATTGCTTGTGGCTGTGTGTGATGCCAGTCCCAGGGCATTGTTTCCTTGAAAAAACATGTGCCTGTGCTCACCAAGTCTTAAAAAAGGTGCTAGTAACCACAACAAAGTGTTTTTTACTGTAGTAGTGAAACAAAAAATAATGCCCAGTACAGCGCACCATTGCATACCACAAGAAAAAGCCCCGACGAGGTTTGGTGACATCGTCGATATTTCAGAAGCTGCCTTTTCTTCACATAACATTGTCTTTGTGGCAAAATAATTCTAAAGGTTTTAGATGTTTTCAGACTCATCTTCCATGTGTAGCTTCTGGGCCCAGATTTGGGGTATGGTGGGGGGAGGGGGTGCAGAGTTGGGGAGGGGGGAGAACAGACTTGCTACCACTTAAGCTAGTGACTAATTAGGATTTTGCTATTCTTGTTTTCCCCTCAATGGGACCCCTGGGACCCACACCTGGAAACTTGGCTTTCAAAACGCCACTGGGGTCATAAGGAGTACCCCTAAATGCTATTTTTAAGTTACTGTATTCATTTCCTAGCCTATTAAACACCAAGCAGAGGCACACTCAAGCAGTGGATTTTAACAGCTTTTAAGAACAGGTTACGACAGACAGGCTGATATTGACATTTATGGGGACGTGGCGCAACTGGAAATGACTAGATTTAGGCTTCTGAGGGAGAAAATGTAAGTGTGAGTGCAGAAGAAGAATGTGTCAGAAATGGTTTGACATGCTACAGAAGGCTATGGATAGATGTGATTACCAACACAATACATCATGGTAGGAGCAGCTGTAGTGTAGTGGCTAGATGCTGCTCTCTGGATTCAAAGGTTATGGGTTTAAATCCAAATGGAGCCACACTTTTAAAACATAATGTTCTTGGCTCTCAGATTGACCCAGCATTAAATGGGTACCAGGTAAAGTCCTGGAAAGTAAAGCTACCTGGCATCATGTTGACCACATTACCCAAAGAGGGCTAATTGGCTTATAAAATATAGGCCTAGCACTGTATGCCCAGTGTGCCTGAAACTCTGGAAAGGGGTCTGTTAGACATCATAGACTCTAGAAAGAAGCTTCTACTGTTCTTCTAGACCAGGCATTTCGAGCTTATAGCCCTTTGCAAGCACACCTGCGGCCCACAAAAACGAAATATTTTGCAAATTATTTCAATTAGTTGTTGTGTGTGGCCTTCATGACAACACAAATATGACCCATATGGCCTTTATTCTAGACTACATAAATAATTAGTATTTACCAGTAATTTGAGCCCAGTCATAATCTTCTCTGATTTCCTGTCTTATGATTCAGTACCTTGTGGCCCGGGAATGTTTTTTAATGGGAAGAACTGTGAAGGATGCCAAGATGGGTATTACCAAGAGGAAACAGGCCAGGCAGCCTGTAAACAGTGCCCTGATGGAGTTCTCACATCTCACAAACCACGCACAAGGAAGAGTCATTGCTATGGTAATTATTCTTTGAAGGTGTCTTCTCTATCTTCTTCATCAGATGCCTGGTATGGAAATTAATTATGACTCTCCACATATATGTCCTCACATATATTAACCCTGTTAGTGTCAGGCAAATATTACTTAACTGATTCTATCCCAGACGATTTTTATTTAATTGAGTGTTGAGCTAAAAACTGACATCACACAACTTGAGATGTTCCCATAAGCGATCCCTCCTCATCTTCAGCTGTTCTGATGGTACCATCAGCAATTTGATTATATGTCCAGGTTGCCTTTCCTCTGAGTGTTGTTTTCAGCTTAATTTTTGCTCTGTGTGTGTGTGTGCGTGCAAGCCTGCATGCATGTGTGTGTGGTGGGGGGAGGGTGGGGGTGTGTGTGTGAGTGAGAGAGTGTGTGTGTGTTAGAGAGAGAGAGAGAGCCGGAGAGTGTGTGCACGTGTGTGCGAGAGAGAGAGTGCTCGTGTGCGTCAGAGAGAGAGACAGAGTGGGCCTGTGTGTGCGAGAGAGAGTTACTGGTGCCATTGGAAATTTTCGCTTGCTGCTGAAGACGGGGGATGGAGGGCTCGTGGGAGTGTCTCGAGTGTTGTCAAATTGATTCTTAATTCAACATTCCACATTTTACTGGTAGTCCAGTAGTGGGCGAAGGAATAGACCCACTGCTATGATGGCAATTCTTAAATCAGTAAAATCAATTTTTAGGGCGCATGGCTGGTAGTGGCAGCTGTAGTGCAGTGGCTAGATGATCACCTACCAGCCTGAAGGTCTAATGTTCAGACCCACTCCAAGGCAGCCCCACCCTTCAGAATTGACCTTGGTTCCGGGGTCGACCAGGTGATATCCTTGGAAATAGAGGTAGCCAGCTTAATGTTGATTACATCAGCCATTAAAACATTCCAATAAAAAATAAAAAAAATAAAAATCATAGGTGTTATCAAAATGTATTGAACACCCTAGTATCGTAGACAAAAAAATATTTAAAAAAAAAGAAAAAAAAAAAAGAAAACACATCTGCATGAAGAAAATACTAAATATGTTAGCAAAACCAGCACTTTACTCCAGAAGCTTTCACACCTTTTTGTTTGAATTTCATCATTTGTCAGAACTCTGCCCTGGAGGATTCATCAGTACAACTGGCTACATAGAAGACAACTGTACTGCATGTCCTGAGAACCAGTTCAGCATATCATCAAACTCTTGCCAACCATGTCCAAATAATGGGTCTACATTAGGAAAATCAGGAGCAACATCAGTGACTCAGTGTTCAGGTTGTTCATCATTTCTCAACGAGCAGACTTGCCAGTTTTGCCTTTGTTCATAGTTTTGTTTGCAAGTATATGTATACAGTTGAACTGGGAAGTTGAAAATTAATTAAATTTATTTAGTATTGGTTGGCTGTTGATGGTTTTACTAGGCAGTTTTACATTCAGATATTTGCCATTGCATTTCTTAGCAGTTTGGCACTCACTTTATCAGAATCAGTGCAAAGCAGTCTGTGTCAAATTGCCTGCAGCTGAATCACATCAGGTCTGTCAGAATGATAAAACTTTGTTCAAAATCTGAAATTAAGGATGCAGACTATATACGGTATTAACACACAAAAAAAGTGTTTTTTCCATGCGCTAGCACGCACACATGTACGCACACATGCACACACACACACACATACACAACAAAGTAATTTGTTTTGAAATCCAGGCAGGCAAAAAAAAAACGGAAGTCCACAGAACTCTTATTGGAGAATCTCATGTTTCAGAATGTTATTTAATGTTAATTTGTTATGAAACATATAATGTTAGTTTATAATTAATATTTGAAGAAACACACTTAACCAAGAGAAAAGTTTGCTCAATGGCAAAAGTAGAAATAGATGATGATGATGATGATGATTAACATTGAAAACAAAAACTTAGGTTTGGTTCTCCTTTAAACTACAGCCAGTTAGTCAGAGTTCAGTCCCCTGGCTACAGTGCAATTACGGAGTGGAGAAGGCACAAATCACAAAACAAAGTGACGTCGACATGGCTGCTAGAGCTAGACCACGCGCTGCGACTAACATTAGCAACCGCGTTCTTGCGACGCAAGACTTAGTGGCCGTAGATGTGACACCTGCGGATCTGTATGCCCTAATGAGCGATAAGCTTGCCTGGTAACCCTAACCCTAACCCTAACCCTACCCCTAACCATACCCCTAACCCTAACCCTAGCCGTATGATGACAGCAGGGCACTGCACGCTGTCTATCGCCAACACACAGTAATTATGTCATTTGTTTCGTTCCCTCTTTTCCACTCCGTAATTGCACTACAGCCAAGGGACTGAACTGCGACTAACCAGCCGTCTAACCGGCTGTAGTTTAAAGGAGAGCCCTTAGGTTTTAATAATTACTTTTACTGCATTCAAATAAACAGACATTTGTTGTTAGGCAGAAAGCATAATAACACGAGAGTTCATGGTAAAAGTTCTACAAAAAGTACAAGAATTAAAATATTTAGGAAGTATATTAACAGATGCTGTAGGAGTGACCAGAAAAGATAAAATCAGGAATTAGATCAAATGAGATCAAGTCAACACAGTTCTAAATTACATAGAAAGACAGCAAATCAAATAGTTTGCCCACTTAGAGAGAATGCCTTCTGATACTATACCATTCAAGACATATACCAAAAGAGGAGAGGGATGTAGAGCAGGAGGTAGACCAGGAACAATTTAGAAGGATAACATCAGAGAAACTCTACAGTGCTACAATGTGTCTTTGGTCGAAAGAGCCAAAAAAGCCCAAAGCAGGACCATATATCTCCCTCGACACCCAAAGTGGTAAAAGAGGAGGTAAAGAAGAAGATATTTAAAGAAGATGGCAGAGTTAACAGACAGATAGAAGCTAGAGTACATGAAGAAAGTACTGTCACATGCCAGTTAGCTCCACAAACAGCAAATGATTATTAGCATCTTTGTCCCTACTTTATGTTATCAGTGCCAAACATGGATAATGAATAAGGGACTAGAATAGAAAATAAACTGTGTGGGAAATATGCTGTCTCCATAAGGTCATTAACAACACAGGAAGGGACAGGGTTGTGAATACCAGCATTAGAAAATTGGAAAAAAGACTGTGTCTGAATTCTATTGACAGACAAAGAAGGAAATGGTTTAGTCAGCTAGTGAGAACGCAGCCAGACCAAACTGTCTAAGATTTTGCTTACAGCAGAACATCTGCATGGAAGAAAAGGAGAAGATGAAGAAAGAGATGGATTAACAGTCTAGCTGAAACCTGCAAAAAAAAAAAAAAAAGGTGAACAAATCCGTGAACCAAGTCACCTGAGAAGCACAAGACAAATGCAGAAAACTATGACACTGGGCTACAACATGGTAACAGTGAGAAAAAATAAAGGAAAAAAAAAAGAATCATGTTGGTTGTTAACTAACTATGAGAAGAAAGAAAGAAAGAAAAAAGAATCATGTTGGCTGTTAACTAACTATACAAAATAAAGACACTGTTTTATGCAGGTTCGTATGCTTTAGAACCTTACCTTAGTGTTTTTTTTATTTATCGTTATATTTAAACACACTGTTTAATGCAGATTCTGATGTATCAGGACCATATTTAGTGTTCATTTACTATGATGTTTAAAAGACATTGTTAAATGCTGATTCATATGTTTTAGAACCATGCCTTGTTCTTCGGTTACTGTTTGTTATATTTAAACACAGTGTCTAATGCAGATTCTCATGTTTAAGAATTGTTTTGAATGTTATAATTTACCTTGCTGTTTGAAAGACCCTATTTAATGCAAGTTCTAATGTTTCAGAACCATGCCCATCTGGCGAGTACTCAATCACCGGCTACAAACCTTGCTATCTTTGCCCTCAACATTTTTTTAATGACATGTCAGCAGCAAGGATGTGCATGGAATGTCCGACTGACACATACACAGCAATGAATGGATCCAAGTCCAGCTCAGACTGCCTAGATGGAAGTATGTGACTATTTTCCTGCGTCTACTTTTTACTTCATACACGATGAGTTCAAATCCTTATTTATGTTGTGTTATTAAAATTGACTGACCCCAGTTTAACCATCCTAAATTTGGTACCATTAAATGTTCGTGAAAGAAAAGTGGCTGGCGTAATAACCCAATCTCCCATATTCCAGTCAGTCTATAAAAAAAAAATTGTTGGCTACTTTTTAACCTTTTCTATGCAAAGACATTTTTGCAAAATTTTGATGTGAATGAAAGATACTGTAAGTAGCTTTATTCATAGTTGATGCTATAGATAACTAAATATTGCTAGTGTGTGCTAGAAAGAGATGATTGTTGGAATTGTGATAATTTAACTTATTCAGTCTTAGTCAACTTTCCATGTTTACTGGTTACTCCTTACATGAAATGCCTTTTCTAACCACTTTTACCCCCCCCCCCCCCCACCCCCAAGCCAGCTGTTATAATAACCTGTTTCAACCCAAATGTTACTTTATCCCTTTTGATGCCTAATTAGAATGCAGCAAGATCAAATACCATCACAGCACTACATCTCAGAAGATCAGCTACAAGAGCAAGAGGACGGCCCCAGAAAATATGGATCGACAAAATTAAAGACACTCTACTTCTTCACGGTACGACAGTAACCACTGGCAGCCAACGTGCACTGGATCGCAAATTATTCCTTCCCATGACGCTTAACGGCAGACGTGGTTTATGATGATGATGATGATGATGATGATACCTAATTGTGGCTATTTAAACTTATATGGATCTAAACAACTATAACTATAGATTATAAAAACAACAATTAGGAATCAGCAAGTTAACTGATACCTGCCTGGAGCTGAAAGAGTTGAAATGCAAGAAATCTGGCAGGTAAACTTGCACAAGCTGCATGAAACTGAGAAATTTAGGTAAGAGAAGACGGGCTGATTGTAGTAATTTACAAAATATGAAACATGTATTTACTGTTGTTACAGGTTCATTGTGCACAGCCAACTTCTGCAACACTGTTGGTGCAATGAATAATTCATGTACAATTCGTTATCACAAGCCCATGTGTGACTGTAAGCCAGGTAAGGGACATAGATTTGTAGATCACAAAAGTATGAAATTTTCTTCCTATCGATCCACAGAAAACCCCGACAGACATGGAGTAGAAGTACCCAGTCTGAATTCAAGAATCACAGTTGTTATGAAAAATAGCCAAAATAGAAGATAGTAAAGTAAAGATCCCTTTTCACGCCTTTAGGTGTATCGGGCATATGGGAAGAGTGCCCATATTTTTACAGACTATCAGCACTAGGTGGATAATGTGGTCAGCATTACGCCGACTGTCTTTACTTCCGCAAGACAGCCATCCTGGTACCCATTTAAGGCTGGGTCGACCTGCGACGCCCCATACCAAGATCAAAACCCACGCAGCCAGCGTGGGTTTTGATCGCGGTACGTTGAAAAATCCTTAATGTGGAATAATGCCTTTCATTTGTGCAGCAGTTGTGTAGTGGTGTTTAATATGGCTGGTAGCCCGTTTATGTGTGAGCTGGTTGAATATCTTAAGTAGTAATTCTACATGCTTATGGCCAGCTTGTCATACCCGACTACTTCCATCAATGACAAACTGCATTTCTTGTGTGACTGTCAGCTTTTTCCACGTCTGGCAACTGAAATGTGCATTTGCTGCTTGCGCATATTTCTGGATTGAACTGGGGCTAAAAGTTTACTCACCATTCATTTGATTTGCACTGGCACAGGAACGGAGCAAGTATAAGGAAACCCGATTGCAGTGATGTTGAAACCTCAACTAAGACCCAATCGGAACTCAAGAAACACAATCATCATGGAGGATAACCAGAAAAAGATTTCAGTTATAACCAAAAATCTTATGAGCTGGTCGAATATGATAAAAACTTTTCTTTTTTTCTTTAATGAAGCAAGCAATCGGCTGCTATACATTACTTAAATTACTTTAACATCATATTAAATCTTATACTGATAGAATGTATTTGTTATCTAAGAATTTTCTTGATCACTTTTCCTTAGGTTACTATGGGAACACCTGCACAAATAGCTGTGATATCTGCAATTCTAATCCATGCTACAATGATGGCTTATGTAATGCATCTGGGCTTAACTTTACATGCAGTTGTAAAATTGGTGAGATTTGTTATTATCTTATCAGTAAATATTGATATCTGATTTCCCCCAGTGTTTCTGCTTCTGTTGACCTTCCAATGTTGCAGCCTCTGCTTCTTTTGACCTCCTAGTGTTTCATCCTCTGCTTCTGTTGACCCCCCAGTATTTCAGCCTCTGCTTCTGTTGACCTCTCCCAATGTTTTAGCTTCTGAATGTTGAATTAAGAATCATCACAGCATTCAGGATACTCCAATAAGGGCTTAGTCCCTATCTTCAACACCATGTGAAGAGTTCCATTTTCGATGGTGCCAGTAACCACCTGATTGTTTATAGGTCTCATCCTTCCTCTGAGTGTTGAGCATCGGCCAGATACCCTGGTAACTCCTCGCAGCGCCATTCTCATAACATAATGATCCATCAGTGACTCCGCACTGTTCACCCGTTCCTTAAGGGCCCTCACATTATCTAACTTGCCATACATCAATTCACAACCAAGTGGTGCAGGGCCAGCCAGTCTATCTGCCTGCTCATTTTCCAAAACACTGGCATGATCTGGAGAAAATATCCAAAGGATGCTAACTACCCGGGACCTCTGAAGTGATGCTTGCCACTCTGCACAAAGCATTCCTGTTTTAACCTTTCTCAACATGCTCTGTGTGTCAGTTACAATCACGGCATGTGTGTACAGCTGATTCTCAAGCCAACGGAAGGCAGTAGAGACTGCCTCCACCTCCATTCTCAAACTAGACGTTGTGATATCATATGCAAGGCTTTGCTGCACTAGGCAAAGTCCATTCGCCTTTGCAATGATATCCCATGCACTTCGTTTGCCCCTCAACACAGAGCCATCTGTATAAATAATCACATCACTTGGGCAGGAATTTTCATGAATTATTTGTTGAACTTCTGATTCTGCAGCACCAGCTGGCCATTCTCTGCACTCACGACCTAACGTGATTAGAACCCTACACAAGTCTGAAACTTGTTCGGACACCTTGACCCACTCCTCTCCTCACTCAGAATTATCAGGCCTGCACATGTGTCCCTACCTGGACAATCAGTAGGCAGGCCAAATAATTACTTGAGGCCTCAGAGATGTGGTTTTACAGAAGAATGCTTAAAATACCTTGGACAGCCAAAAAGAGCAACCAAGAAGTTTTGAAAGAGGTGTGAGCTCCTAACAACTAATCACAGACATCAGAAAGGAGACAGTCATCTTTTTTCGCCATGTTATGAGAACCGGGAAATTGAAACATGTTGCGACCACTGGAAAGATCTGTGGAAGGAGGGATAGAGGAAGACAGCGAGAGAAGATTCTTGACAGTCTTGTTGCATGACATGGAGGTGTGTCAGCACACGAACTAATACAAGCTGCAGGAGATAGCAGGTTGTGGAGAGGCATGATCGACCACGCCATTCTGCAAGGCACCTGATGATGATGATGCACACATGTCCAATTGTGACTTCAGCTTGCGCCATTCAAGACCTTCCTCTTTTCAGTCTGTGACCCTTAGCTCTACCCAGGGCTTCATGCAGGAGGTGCTTCTTGCCTGCAGCTACTCTGAGAAATGACTTTGCCTGCAGAACTTTGAGCCTGTCTACAATAGTAGGCAGTGCAAGTATGCATCGCATACATACTACCAGGGTATCTCTTTTACATCCCAGAATTACCCGCATGGCATCATTCTATATGTGCTCTAGTCTAATCAACTGACTGTTTGATATGGTAAGCATTCCAAGTCCATAATCGTAAGCATTCCAAGTCCATAATCTTAAGCATTCCAAGTCCATAATCTATCACTGACAGGAACACATGCTGGAAGATAGTGAACAGCATTCTTTGTTCAATGTTCATTGCTGCCATAATCTTGAGAGCATTTAGTCCTTTTTAGCATTTCAACACAACTGCCTCCATGTGATCCCTATAGGACAGGCTTCTATCGAAAGTGATAACCAGCTACCTCAGTTTTCTTTTTTGATGTTACTGTTATTAACTGTTAGGCTTGGAACATCAGCTCTTACAATTATATTGTCCAGAGAGCACCACAAAACAGCGGCCTTTTCTGAGTTGATGACAGACCCCTTTTTGCAAACCAGTCAGTCACTTTGTCTACAGTTGCCTGCAGCTCTTGGGCTATCCGTTGTCTATCATTCCCTTGCCATGTGCAAGAACATCATTAGCAAATGTCAATATCCTTCCAACACCTGGTGCTTTAAGTTCTCCAATCTTGCTTGTATACACATTAAAGAGCACCGGTAAAATTGCAGAACCCTGGGGCAGTCCCAGGGTTATATTACATGGTTCTGAGGTTCGTGTACCCAGGCGAAGGGTAACCATACATGAATGCAGGACAGCTGCTATCCAGTTCACAAGCCAGAGACAAACCCCCTTCTCCATGAGTGCAGAAATCAAAACATCATATCTGACTCTATTGTAGGCATCCTCAAGATCAAGTGCTACCACAACTGTCTCCTGTCTGTTCTGGAACCCTTAATAAACACTAAAAGCAAAAAAGTAGCTGTATTTGGCCATCCATCTTTCCGTGGCCAGTTAACTACCGAAACCTTTTGACAGCAGCTCTTCCCTTTCCAAAAACATTCAAAGTTTAACAACAATAATCTTCTGTAGCACTTTGAAAAAAAAGTATTTTGTAGGGTGATAATCCTGAAACCGCTGAGTCTGGAATGTTTCAGCCTCTGTTTCCGTTGATCTTTCCCAGTGTTTTGGTTTCTTTTTCTGTTGACCTCTCCTGATCTATCCCAGTGTTTCAGCCTCTGTTGATCTATCCCAGTGTTTCAGCCTCTGTTGATCTATCCCAGTGTTTCAGCCTCTGTTGATCTATCCCAGTGTTTCAGCCTCTGTTGATCTATCCCAGTGTTTCAGCCTCTGTTGATCTATCCCAGTGTTTCTGCCTCTGTTGATCTATCCCAGTGTTTCTGCCTCTGTTGATCTATCCCAGTGTTTCAGCCTCTGTTGATCTATCCCAGTGTTTCAGCCTCTGTTGATCTATCCCAGTGTACCTGCCTCTGTTGATCTATCCCAGTGTTTCTGCCTCTGTTGATCTATCCTGGTGTCCCTGCCTCTGTTGATCTATCTCAGTGTTTCAGCCTCTGTTGATCTATCCCAGTGTCTCTGCCTCTGTTGATCTATCCCAGTGTTTCAGCCTCTGTTGATCTATCCCAGTGTTTCAGCCTCTGTTGATCTATCCCAGTGTTTCAGCCTCTGTTGATCTATCCCAGTGTTTCTGCCTCTGTTGATTTATCCCAGTGTTTCAGCCTCTGTTGATCTATCCCAGTGTTTCAGCCTCTGTTGATCTATCCCAGTGTACCTGCCTCTGTTGATCTATCCCAGTGTTTCTGCCTCTGTTGATCTATCCTGGTGTCCCTGCCTCTGTTGATCTATCTCAGTGTTTCAGCCTCTGTTGATCTATCCCAGTGTCTCTGCCTCTGTTGATCTATCCCAGTGTACCTGCCTCTGTTGATCTATCCCAGTGTTTCTGCTTCTGTTGATCTATCCTGGTGTCCCTGCCTCTGTTGATCTATCTCAGTGTTTCAGCCTCTGTTGATCTATCCCAGTGTCTCTGCCTCTGTTGATCTATCCCAGTGTTTCAGCCTCTGTTGATCTATCCCAGTGTTTCTGCTTCTGTTGATCTATCCCAGTGTTTCAGCCTCTGTTGATCTATCCCAGTGTTTCAGCCTCTGTTGATCTATCCCAGTGTTTCAGCCTCTGTTGATCTATCCCAGTGTTTCAGCCTCTGTTGATCTATTATAGGACAGCAAATACTGTTTTATAAAATCATCTTGTGCAAGAAATCCATGTCATGTGTGTTGAGAAAAATAATTCTTGCATGCCATATAGAGCCAGTTTTAACATATGGCTGTCGACCCTAAACAACTAATAAAAAAAAAAGTAACTGGCTGTTTAACTGTGGCAAAAGCAGGCTCACTGCCATATATTATCATAATTGTTGGCTGTGTGGGGTCAAGGCGTGGTGTCGGCCTTGAGTGGTAGAGGTTCCAGGTTCAATCCCCGGCAGGAGCTAGGATTTTTTCATGTGGACTTGGACTTCTAGTAATTCCCCCGGATCTCTGGGCAGTGAGATCAGACGCCCGTGTTATTTGTTGTGTTCATAAAAAAATCTCTTGGCCGTTGGAAACCGAAAAGAGTAGCCTAATGGCGTTGCTTGTGTGGTGTCCCTACTGGTAGGGACAGAGGAAGACATACAGTCACGTCTGAACAAAGCTAGAGCTGCTTTCGGAAGGATGAGGCAGATCTGGAAATCCAACAATTACTGCAGAGGAACGAAACTCCGACTTTACAAGAGCATCATTTTGCCAGTTCTTCTTTATGGAGCGGAATGCTGGAGAATGACCAGAAAGGATGCACACAAGCTGTCCACCTTCCACCACACATGTCTACGTAGAATTATCAAAATTTTCTGGCCAGATACAATCTCAAACACTAAACTACTTCAAGTCACAAACCAAGAAACTTTAGACAGTATGATTACCAAGAGAAGATGGAAATGGCTTGGCCACGTTATGAGAATGAATTTTGATATACCTGCCAAAACAGCTCTCACATGGACACCAGAGGGAAAGAGAAAACAGGGGCGCCCAAAAACAACATGGAGACGAACGATGAAAAGTGACCTGAGTGCGGCATCTTTGACATGGAAAACTGCAATGAAGATTGCACAGGACAAGAAAGCATGAAAAGTCCTCTCTGAAGCCTCTTGTGCCACTAGGCATAACGAGAACTGATGAGTTAATTGGAGTTAAAAATCAACCCAGTATTTGAGGATCCTCGCTGGGGCTACAGAGCCTGTGCACTGTGCTGAGCTTCTTCGGACTTGAGTTAGAAGAAGAATGGAGCACTTATGGGTTTCTACCCAGTGTCCGGGATGTTGATCCATTGTTCAAACCTCAGACTAAAATATTTTCATGAAATATATTTTTCTTTCAGACACTACCTGTATATTTAAGCAGAACCAAAAAATCAAGTACACTACTGATCCGACAGAAGTTTTCATCACTCGAGATGGAAACATTACATGCAGAGAAAAATGTCTGAAGAATGTCACCTGCGCAGCATATCTGGTGGAACAAAACATGAATTGCTATCAGTACAGCAGTGTAATTCTAGAAACTAATGACAATATCCACCAATCATACGTGAAGAATTGCTCTGCGAAACAATGTAAGTTAATGTTCTTGTGTGTGCTCCTCTTATTTTATAAACTGGGGCAGTACTTAATCATGCATTTCTACTAGCTGGTTTTTCCACCCGCTGGCAGTAAACTGAGGCTTGGCAAGCTATATGTGGTCAAGGTTCTTCAGAGTGTGTGAACAGTTGGGTGGAGGAAAAAATAGGTCATCACTGTCTGAAGAGAATGGGGCCACTGGGAATCACCTGCGGATCTAGTGGAAAGGCAAGATGGATATACAGTCACACTGGTACCGGTACCATCAGCCCTGGCACTCTTTGCTGGCTGCTGAAGATGGTGATAGAGCACTTATGGGAAGGTCCGAAGTGCTGTGATGTTGGTTTGTAACTGAACTCAACATGTGTTTTTGTTTGACTGATGCAGCCTTAAACTAATGTAGAATATATATGTACACAAATGTATGATGTGTGTGTGTGTGTGCATGCATAAGTGCCCGCTCACATGCGTGCACTCATGCATACACACAAAAGCGCACACTTGCTCACACACACACGCATGCACACGTACGCATGTATGCATGTGCCTACACACGCATGTATGCATGCACACATATACGCATGCACACACATACACACACACACACACACACACACACACACACACACACACACACACACATACAAGCACCCTCATCATCCATCAAGTGCCAATTGGCCTGTAAAAAAATATAGGGCATCCCATATACCCATAACACTTCATGTTATCAGAATGTCTTTGCTTCACTTTACCTAATTTAATCTTTTGCTCTCATATGATTACAGAGCATATTGGAAGTATATAGATGTGCATTTTGATTTTAGTATTTCCCTATGTGGGTTCCAGGGCTCTCATTTAGGTGGAAGAGGGGGGGGGGGAGAAATAGACCCACAGCCCCCATACCCCCCTTTTTCCCTGCTTCCATCGAGTATGTTATAAAAGGCTGCTGACGGGGGGTTTTTCTTCAAAGTTAGCCTGCATCTGCCTGAGAGGTGAGAAACCAAAAAACAGTCTGCTCACAGATAAGCCAGATTTGTCAAATGTAAAATGGATGTGCCCGCAAAAATAGGCTCTGTCCAGAGCTCAAACATGTCCTGAGTCCAGAAATGGACAGACATGAACTTTTGGCAGGAGTTTTACAGCCAGTAGTAGTAGCCCTTTTCCATCATGAGTTTCATGAAATTGAGTATACATCAAAAAACAAAAAAACACATTAGTGAACAGTCATGTCTCAAGCACATGCTCACCAAATTTCAAGAAGATATTTTGATATTTAGTTGGTCATTCATTAAAAGCAAAATAGTACCTGTATTTTCAACTTTCTAACCAGACTGCCCCCTTAAACAATATTTCTATTAGTATTTGAAGGAGAACTGTGTGAAAAAGATCTGATAAACGATTGCACTGATAGCGTTTGTACCAGCATAGACTTTTGCATGGATCTTGTTGGAGGCACTAAGTGCCAGTGTCCTCAAGATGGAAATTATGACGGCAGGTGAGTTGCCACCAATGTGTTTTTTTTTATCATCATCATCATCAATAATCTCCACTTTCGCCATTAAGCTAGTGGAGAAGAACAGTTTGCATGTGATTTCTTGATTAGGTAGCAATGTGGGCTCCCAGTTGAATAGCCCTGATGTAGAAGATCGTTAGTGTCATTGATCTGTGTTCTCCTAGGGTTACTTCTTGCTTTCCAGTAATATTTTTTATGTGAAGCGTCTGTGTTGGTAGTTGTTATGGCTGCATTCAAACAACACGACCAAACCGTTGATCGTCTGTTTCTTGTTGAATTTGGTGAATGATGTTGTTACTACAGAGTCTGATAATATATAGTTTTATATATAGTTAATTTATTTGTTTTGTGGCTCTTTGGCTTAGATAGAGGTTAGTGAATATGTTTAACAGTTTCATGATACCTGAGTACAAGTGTTTAGTTTCTATGGATGGTGGTTAATTTTCACACACAAACTGTTTTCATGGTTTTTTTAAAGTAACAAAAGTCTTGACATAAATTAGCCCACAAAGAGAATGATGGCTCACATCTGAATCTTTAGTCATGTCATGAAAAGAGGAAGACTGGAGTATATCATGATAGCTGAAAAGTTGGAAGGGAAAAGAGACAGAAGAGCCTGAAAGAGAAGATGCTGGATAGTCTGACATTATGGCCTGGAAGATCATCTTTGTGAGAATTCAATGGAAGTACATGAGACAAAAGATATGGATAAGCTTGACTGCTACATATATATAATTATTATTATTATAACTACTACTAGTAGTTTATTGTTCCTTGTTCTTGTTTGCAATTTAAAAGATGTGCAAAGCCAGACAATCTGTGCCAGGGAAACAACTGCAGCCTTCACGGGACATGTACCTCCTACGGCTCTGTACGTGCACTCTGTATGTGTGACCCAGGGTACACAGGAGATAGATGTGAGACTAATATAAGTGAGTATACTCCTGTGTCCCGTCCCCCACCCCCCACACCACACACACACACTCACACAAACACGCACACAAACACCTAAACACGTGACATAAGAGTGGGAACAAACACAATGACATCTCAATGACAGTTTCAATATGGCTGCCCACTGTTCACATGCACCAAAGAAGAGAAGCATTATTCTTATCCGGTTTTTGATCAGGAAGCGGTGAAACCTACAGAAATTCATAAAAAAATTAAGGTTCTGTATGGAAATTGTCTGTGTCACTTACATTTATTAAGCAATTTTTCTGTGTGAGGCCTTAAACAGCTGCAGTAAACTCTGGTGTCACTACTTAGTATGCCTGACCAGTCAAGAACAATCTGTTATAGAAATTACACCATTTTGAAACTCACTACTCCACTCATACACTTGCTGGACTGACAGGAATGTATTACCGTACTGAACCTTTATTCGCAGATAACCACTGGGTGGTGAATTGATACATGACAAGGCAGATGTGGTCAAGGCCCTTTGGAAACAAGCAACAAAATCAGTAGGAAAAGAAGATTATTATGGCCTGGAGAGAATGAGACACCTGAGTGTAACCAGAGGGTCTGGCCGGCTCACTACACACAGAGGAAAGGCAAGACGGACATATAACCAGATTGTGACTGGTACCATCAGTATTGGAACTTTGCCCTGGCTGCTAAAGATGAGGACGGAGCACACATGGGAATGCCCCAAGTACTGTGATGTCAACTCTTGACTCAACTCAACTCGCAGATAATTTTCTGGAGGTTTTACCTTTTTACTGATTTAAAAAAACACACAAAAGCTTATAACGGAACACTGCTACTCTTTGGTACATGTTAAAAGTGGGGCAGCATCTTTGAACTGCCATTACGACATCAGCATCTTCGTCTGCACTTTGTCATATGCTTAACACTCCTGATATTCTCAACAATATTAACAGATTACAAGACAATAGCTTGGTTATTGTAATGATGATAATGTAACAGATCATCTCCTCTTTGAATATCAGGCACTGGATGACTTTAGAAGACTGTTCTCTTTCCCTCTTGCTGCAAACAGAAATCTGTATTTGAAACAAATCATCCTAGCAATTTGAACAAAGTCATGAGAGGCTAGCGGATGCTTGTGGAGCAATAATTACATATCATCCATACAAATCATTAACTGCCAGTTTGCTATACAAATATGGATCTATACCTCTGTCCCTGATACACAACTAATCATGAAAAGGGTCTTTCGCTTAATTTACTGTAAAAGTGGCCACCTTGATATGGGCTAAATCACCCATAAAGTGCCATTGGTCTATGAAAACTTCTTCTTCTTCTTTGCGTTCGGTTTGATATGTTCAGATCAGACCATCAGGTGGGTTGCCTCTATGAACTCGCATGTAAGTAGTAGGTCCTTCCTTCATGGTTTCCCCATAGCTTGCTTTGCACATGTTGCTCTTGAGGCCAGGTGTCTTTTCAAAATTGTAAGCAGAGTGTTCTGCAGAATATGCTCAGGTGTTTGTGGTCCTGTTTGACAGGCACACTGTTAGGACTGTACAATCTTTGTTTTTTAATGCATATTAAAACATGAGTCTAGCAGCATATGTCTGATGCACCAAAGGCATAAAAAAGTGTAAGTTACTTTTTTTTAAATGTATTCTACTCACATGCAAACACAATAACATTTTATTTTCAGATGAATGTGCTTTAAATGCAAATGGCTGTTTGTACAATGGCACTTGCCAGGATGGAAGTGACACTTACAGCTGCTCCTGTGTAAATGGCTTTTCTGGCAGTCACTGTGAAGTTCTGGCAGATTTTTGTTTCCGCAACGACTGCAAAGTGGCAGATGGAGGGATCTGTACAAACGATTATCGTAATTACACTGCCAGCTGTACATGTGGACAGCAGTACATGCCAGGTAAGAGACAGTTTAAATGTTTAGTTTTGCATTGTCTTGTATTTTTCAAAGAGCATTGACAATGTATTTAAATAATTGATTTGCCTGTTACGCTAGCTTCTCATGACTTTGTTCTCTGCATAATGCAGAGATTAAATAGCTTGAAGAACCTATGGCAAAGCACTAGTAAACATTTTGAGATTAGGCATTTTTCCTGTGGCAACTTACGGTTGTGAGTCTTGGACTCTCACTCAGTCATTGAGGGAGAAGTTGAAGCTTTTGAATTGAAATGTTAAAGAAAAATTCTAAGAATACCATGGATCAGGAAGAGGAAAAACATTCTGAACGAGTTGAACATCAAGGAGAACTGGCTCATAAACAGCATCCTGTCCCGAAAGTATTTTGGCCACAGCAAGCGACATGGTGGCTTGGAAACGACGGTGATGGAAGGTGCAGTTTGTGGGAGGCGAGGCAGGGGTCGACCACCGCGAAGATGGATAGAAGACATTGAGGATGCATTGGCATTGAAAGCACATGAGGCTGGAGAGCTGGCTAGGAAAAGTGATACTTTCAGGCGTGCCATGAAGAGAGGGATGTTCTGTAAAGGACTTGCTGATTGATGTTACTGATAAGTTATTGCAGCTCTTGCTTATTCTGTCTGTTTTATATAAATATATATATATATATATATATATATATATATATATATATATATGTGTGTGTGTGTATATATAAATATTAATTTTCCGAGTTTTTTAACTATAGACTCGGAAACTACTGAACCGATTGCTTTCAAATTTTCACACAGGGTTGCCTTTGACTCAAAGCGCGATTTTTTTTGTCAGAAAATGGCACAAACCACGAACGACGTAGCTCCAGCAACAGTGAAATCATTATTCGTTTCGTTGCCGGCCTGGATTTGTTTTTAGTTGATTGGCCATTTTTTTACTGCTGAGCTTTTTTTAAACTTTGCATTACTATATAATTTCATTTTCACTATCTGCTTGAGTATTTGGTAGCGTAGTTGTAACTATTCTGCCTATCATGCGGGTGACCCCCGTTCGATTCCCCGCTAGGTGGTATAATTCTTTTTTTTTGTAGCCCTTAACTGGGCAGCTGGCGTGTTGTGGTTTATGGCTAGGCTGCGATATCTACGCCCTTTTTTTGGTTTTGGGGTTTACAGCTAGCCTGCGACAGCGGTGACGTGGTGCTCAATGGTCATGTCATGGGTTATCTTCGTTCGCCCTCGAGAGGGCCGTTGGCACGTTGTATTGTGGTTTCACCTTTCGCCCAAAGACATTTGATTTCAGTTAAGTCCCAATTAGCCTCCCCGCGACACTTCAGCGATGACAGAAACTGTTAACTAAGACGGCTTACAGTTTAGTTTTGGGTGGACACGGATGCCAAGTTCAGTTACAAATCCTTTCTTCGGAGAGGGAGAGATGACGAGTGCGGGGTATTTTTCTTCGCTGTTCATGAGTACAGTGTACTCTTTACTGTGGGTTCCATCACTGGTTACGTGATAAGGTTATTTTTTCTATGTCGGGGGCAACATTAAACTAAATAGTCCGTGGCGACAGCATGCGGCGCTAACTCCTCTTTTCTACACCGACCTACACAGACTGTAGTGACAGTTTTTGGTGTTGTTGTTGTTGTGATAGTGGTGGTGGTAGTGGTTGCAGTAGTACTGGTACTGGATGGGGGACGTGGTAGCTGTTACACTGGCCACATTCACTTCTCAGTACAAGTTAATGTTACCTATTTAAGTCTGGGTGGACACGGATGCCAAGCTCAATTTAGTTACAATATTTCGTCCTTCCGAGAGGATGTTATGATTGGGGGGAGGAGGGGGGGGGGGGGGGGTTATGCCAGACACTGAAAACTGTGAGAGCTTAACATATTATTTTAGAGTTCTCATTTCTTAAATATTTCTATTTTAATAATTTCGCTAGGTGATGATTTTTCAATCCTTCGGAGAAAGAGATATGATTGGTGGAAGGGGGTGGAAAGGGGGCGAGGGGGGGGGGGGGGAATGCCGGACACAGTTATCTGAGAGAACTTAAAATATTATTTTAAAGTTATCATTTCTTAACTGTTTCTATTTTAATAATTTTGCCATGAATGATTTTTCAATCCTTCGGAGAGGGAGATATGACTTCGCCAGGTGATGATTTTTCAATCCTTCGGAGAGGGAGATGTGATTGGGGGAGCGGGAGGGGGGTGGGTTATGCCAGACACAGTTAGCTGAGAGAGCTTAAAATATTATTTTAATGTTCTCATTTCTTAACTATTTATATTTTAATAATTTCGCTAGGTGATGATTTTTCAATCCTACGGAGAGGGAGTTATGATTTGTGGAATGGGGGTGGGAGAAAAGGGGGGGGGGGGAAGAGGGGGGGGGGGGGGTTATACCAGACACAGTTGGCTGAGAGAGCTTAAATTATTATTTTAAAGTTCTCATTTCTTAACTATTTCTATTTTAATAATTTCGCCAGGTGATGTTTTTTCAATCCTTAGGAGAGGGAGATATGATTGGTGGAATAGGGAAAAAGGGGGGGGGGGGGTTTATGACAGACACAGTTAGCCAAGAGAGCTAAACATATTATTTTAAAATTATCATTTCTTAACTATTTCTACTTTAATAATTTCACCAGGTGATGATTTTTCAATCCTACGGAGAGGGAGTTATGATTGGTGGAATGGGGGAAAAAGGGGGGGGGGGGGAAGTTATGCCAGACACAGTTAGCTGAAAGAGCTTAAATTATTATTTTAAAGTACTCATTTCTTAATTGCGTATAGTGTATTTATTGTTCAGTCTTCACAGCAGAGCAGCTTTTACCATCTTTATGTGGTTAATACACACACAAAAAAACCTTACCACAGCTGCAGAGAAATTAGGTTATGGCAGAAAGACTATTCATCAATGTTGATACTAATGGAAAATGATTTTAATCTCCACATTTTTCTTCTAAAGTTGTAAAAAAAAGTTGTTTTTTGTGTGTGGGTTCGCTGCATGTTTGGTTGATTTTTCAATATTAGTTCCCTTATTCTTGATTTATTTATTTCTTCATAATCTTCTTCTTAAACAAGGCAGGGAAATTTCATAACCAGTGTCATAACTGACATCAGTCTTCTTTCAGTAAAACTTATTGGATCCAAAGTATATGGCAACATTCAAAACATTGATACAGTATTTTTGAAAAACTCCAAAACATCAGGTATGGGATCAGAAGTAAGAATGTACCAACTTCGGCAGCCCAGCATAATGCTGCACATATCTAACCTTTACTGTGGAGATGGCACACAGTTAGAATAATGTGCCTTGTAATGATGTGTATAATTTAGAGAATGGATTGGGTGACTAGACTGCAAGCCCTGTGTGATGTCTAACTGCACAGTAGGATGATGCTGATGATGAATGTGTTATCTTCAACATGTAGCTGGTCCTTTGCAAAATACCACTCTTATCATGGTCTGCCAGAAAGAAACTCGGTCTTTCACCAGCTTTCCCCCTTCTTGTACTACCCTCCCAATGTGTTGTTTATATCCTGTGCCCATCTTTGTGCTGGTCAGCCCTTGCCCCTACCCTCTTTTCCTTGTACCGTGCCTTTTCTGCTTGATATGCAATAATGTTTTAGTTTTGGGACAGGATGTTGTTTACTAGCCAATCTTCCTTGATGTTCGGATCTTTTAGGATGTCATTGTTTCTTATCTTCTTTGTCCATGCTATTCTTAGAATCTTTCTATAGCATTTCACCTCAAAAGCCTATGAGGGCTATGAGTCTACCATCACATCCGTATGTTGCTACAGGAAAATTGCATGCTCTCAAAATTTTGACTTTGATTTCCTTGCTGGTGCTTAACTCTAGACTTCTAATGCTGTTTAACGATGATATCATATGGGTTTTTGTTTTTTCCCAAAATTAATTTGCTTTATTTCTTTATAGATCCTCAGAAATCTGCTGCATGTGTTCCCATACAGTACTGCATGAGCAATCCATGTGTAAATGGAACCTGCCAGGATGTATTCGGTGGGTTCATATGTAACTGCGATGCTGGATTTGAGGGTTCTCGCTGTCAACATAACACTGATAACTGTATCAACAATCCGTGCAAGAATGGAGCCACTTGCATTGACGGAGTGAACAGCTACAGTTGCCAGTGTCCCTCTGGTTTCAGAGGTAAACTGAATTGACTGTTTTTTCTGTTGTTTTTTTTATAGTATTTTATAATAATACTTTTGTAAGGTAACTGCTTCTTTTAAAAGCATTAACAAAATATGAAACTCCAAATTATTTAGTTTTAAAACCAAATTACATATTTTTGATTCTAACGTGTTTTCAGTTTTAACTGTTTGAGTCCCAGGGGGTTTATCATCAGACACTCAAGGGGTAGTTAAGAGAGACGTTAAATCTGCACATCATGCGTTCATTGGGCCTCTAGGTAGGAAACTATGAACGTGTGATGTGTTCCTTGGGACTCAGAGTTAACATAAGCCAGTGAAAGTTGAACCACTAAAGATGTGTAATGAAAGTTCACCCATTTGAAAAGAAATGCCTAAGGAAATTAATGAACATTAAATGGTATGAATTCAAGAGAGGTTAAGAAATAAAATAAATGTCTGGACAGGCACTTGCATCATCAAATACAAGGATGGCAATATATTAGCAACATCATAAGCAGAACAGAAAATCACAACACAGCTGCTGAGCTGCTGAATTTAGTCCTTGGTGCAGTCCTGTGAGCTGTGTTTTTACAGTGGAATGCCTTTCATTTGTGGAGCGGTTGTGTCTCGTTATTCAATGTGGCTTGTAGCTGGTTTATGTGTGAGATGGTGAAATACCTTATGTGAAGGTTCTATGTGTGTATAGCCAGCTATTGTGCCCGATTACTTCCATACAAACTGCTTTCTGGTGGCGACTGTTGGCTTTGGTGCCTCTAGCACCTGCCATATGCGCGCACATATTTCTGGATTGTTCCGGGACTAATTGTTTGTTCACCAGTTTTTCAAATGTGACAGTAAGGGACATTTCATTTGATTTGCACTGGTACAGGAACAGAGCAAGTATGAGAAACATGACTGCAATAAAGTTGAAACTTTGACTAAGACTAAGGAAAGAATTGCACAGGATACACCAGAAAGGAAGACTAGACTAAGTGATATCTTGAGGCAGAGTAGGAAAGTGATGATGATGATGAATAATTTTGTCAAGGTATTTAACAAATGCTACCTGGCACATGAGAAATAACAAATCAATCGATTGATGAGTAAACGACATCATCTCCTGAAAGCTGACATATTTTGCCCATGTCAAGCACCATGTGGGTCTCATCATTTGGGCGGGAATTGTCATGAATCCTTTGTTGAACTTCTGATTCTGCAGCACCAGCTGACCAGTCCCTGCACTTATGACCCAAAGTGATAAGAATCCTACACAAGTCTGCAACTTGCTCTGACATTTTGACCCTCATCCCCTCGCACAAATTTATCAAACCTGCACACAAGTCTGATTGTATCTTCATTTACGCCATCCAAGACCTTCCTCTTTTCAGTTTGTGACCCTCAGCTCTACCCAGGACTTCATGCAGGAGGTGCTTCTTGTCTGCAGCTACTCTGAGATTTGACTTTGCTTGCAGAACATCTGCAATAGTAGGCAGTGCAAGCATATATGGCATACATACCACCTGGGTATCTCTTGTACATCCCTTAAAAAAAAAACCTCTACAAACACTGTTAGCATTTAAAACTAGTTGATAGTTAGTGACTATATCTGCAGATTGTTAATCTCTCAATTGTAGACACTCTTAATAGTTAGTGACTATACCTGCAGATTGTTATTCCTTCAATTGTAGACACTCTTGATAGTTAGTGACTATACCTGCAGATTGTTATTCTCTCAATTGTAGACACTTTTCCCTTCAGTGGTGCTTAGAATTGGAAAAATACATTTTGAAAACAAAATTATTATGAAACAATTTTTGAAAGGTGAATGTTCATGTTTGTTTTCTTATTTTCAGGTGACTACTGTGAAGAAAATATAAATGATTGTACTGGGCAGTGTGTGCAGCAGAACTTAGAATCTCCATGCCAGGATTTGATTGACGACTATCAGTGTAGTTGTAACTCTTCATACACAGGAAAGAATTGTTCTGTAGGTATCATGTTTATATTATAATTTTTATGACTGACATAAAAAAGAACAACAACAAAAAAACACTTTAAAACAAAACAAAGAATATTGGTAGTATATTATATCTTTGTCAGTTAAGCTGAGAGGAGAGTCACCGTGGCGTAGCAGCTAGACGCTAGCGTGTTGATTGGAAGGTCATAGGTTCGCTTCCTAGCCAGACTTTTTTCAAAAATGACTTTGACTCCCAGGTTGACCCAGCCTGGAGTGAGTACTGGATGCAGTCCCGGGAAGTAAAGGTAGCCAGCATGATGCTGACCACATCACCCATCTTGTGCAGTGGTCTCTAAAAATATAGGTCCAGCCCTATATGCCCTATACACCTAAAGGCGTGGAAAAGGGACCTTTATCTTTGCAAGTTAAGCTGAGAAAGAGAATTCTTAAAATTATAATAGAGCTTGTTGACATCTCCCTATCGTAGAAAGCGGACCGTTACCTTTACTAGTTAAACTGAGAAAGAGAGTTCTTAAGATTCTGTTAATCAAGTAACAGAAAGTATTGTGAACGGCAGTCATAGAAAGAAGTAGAAAGATAGAAGAACACACTAGACAACATAAAAATTGAAAGCTATAGTTACCGTACCGGGAATTGAACCTGTCACCTCCAGGCAGCGTCTGCGCCTCGCCATGAATACAAGTGCACTAAGATACATGGTCAACTAGGCACCCCCAAAAAAAGGTGTCTTATGGCCATGTCTATCGTACAGCTTGAAATCCACGACTATGGAATACGGACAGAATTCCTTTCACCCATTGAAATGGCACCATAGGTTACAGAAATTTATATTAACGAAGCAAATGTCGAATAACAATCACAGCAACAATTTACGAACACAGTAGACCTTATACTTTGTCTAGAATACACAAACATTTAAGATAGGTATTTGATTGGTAGGTTCTGGTGTGTATACGTCATTCCTATAAATAAACAGGGGGGGGGGGAACCATTTGAGGCCGTTAAATATTATGAATTAATCAAGTAACAGAAAGTATTGTGAACGGCACTCATAGAAAGAAGTAGAAAGATAGAAGAACACACTAGACAACATAAAAATCGAAAGCTATAGTTACCGTACCGGGAATTGAACCTGTCACTAGAGCTTGTTGACATCTCCCTATCATGGAAAAGGGATCTTTACCTTTACTAGTTAAACTGAGAAAGAGAGTTCTTAAGATTCTGTTAGAGCTTGTTGACATCTCCCTATCATGGAAAAGGGATCTTTACCTTTACTAGTTAAACTGAGAAAGAGAGTTCTTAAGATTCTGTTAGAGTTTGTTGACATCTTCCTAAGTATTAATATCAGATACCTATTTTGTTTAAAATAGTTTGTAAACTTTAAAGTCAGGGAATAAAATTCATTACACTTGGTTTTTATCCCATACGGCTTGTTTTCAGTCTTCAAAGAATATCTACCCATCCACTGCACAAAGCACCAACTCCATAGCTCAGGCAATGATCCTCAGGGATCTACTTAAAAATTAAACTTTTGAACCAAAGGACATAATCTATGAAGCAAACCCATGACCTTTAGAGCATGACGTGAAAAATGTAATCATTTAGTCATGGAGACTGCCACTAGTGCCTGTACTAAACTTTACAACAACAACAAAAAAAGGTGGGGGTGTGGGGGGGTTGAGCCTGAGAATTTAGTGCCACATGGCTAGTACTGTCACCATTAGGATTTCATTTTTGTCGCTGAGAAAAAAAAATCCCCAACCTTACCAAAGATTCAAACCGAGGTCTCCCATTTGAGAGCCCAGTGCTCTAACAATTTGGCCAGCTGTTGTAAAATAGCAAGTGTTGTGCTTATAACAATTACATTATATCCCTTTATTGGTGTATTTGTTTCAAAATAAGAATAGTCTTTCTTCAAATTAATCAAGCCTCATCTTAATAACTTCCTTTCTTAAAATACAATACCGGTGTCTTCATTTCAGGAAAATGTTGATGAGTGTCTTGTTCGTGAGCCATGTCGTCATGGAGGCAACTGTTCCGACTCCCCAGGAGATTACAGCTGTGCCTGCCCTGCTGGATATACAGGGAGAAACTGTGATCAAGAAATAAATTACTGCAGTCCAAATCCATGCAAAAACATGGGCACTTGCTACAATCTTATAGATCGCTACTACTGCCAGTGAATATTTGTCATTTGGCTTTTTTGTTGTTTTGTTGTTGTTGCATGTTTGTTTATTAGGAGATAGTGTACATGAAAGTTACTTGTTATCCTTATCAACATCCTAGCACATTGGTCTGACCCATTTGTGCCCGATCCTTTAAAGCAGCAGCCGTCTCACTGTCTCCAGCTCACTGTCTCCAGCTCACTGTCTCCAGCTCACTGTACCTGGTAGGTGTTGACTGGCATATTTTCTGTCTTCGGTCGCCCTGCAACCAGTTTTTGCATGCTCATCCTCATTTATTAACCACTTCCTACAGGTGGTTCGTCGTCTCTGACTTCTTTGTCTCAGCACCTCTGGAACACAGCACAATCACTGTGTCTGCTCTCTCCATACCTGTTCCTCCACCAGTTTGTCTGCTCTTTTATTTCCTTTCCATTCAGCCTGGCATGTCCAGATTTGTGCAGCCAAAAAAGTATCTTGAGGCGGGACTTTAGGATGGTGTCAACCCACTCTAGGTGGACTTTCCAAGTTTGGATCTTCATAAGCATGCTCATTGAGTCTGTCACTAGTAATGCAACAGCAGATTTATTTCTGCCAGCCATGCAAGTACCCCATCTGCTATTGCCCTTATCATGCTTCATGAAAGTGGAACATTATATACAACTGTTAGAAAAAGACAGTGCTCTTTTTGTTTATTCAGTAATGAGAATAGATGCATCCGAGAACATTGTAATGATGGAAAGCACTGTAGTAAAGACAGATGAGAGAGAGATGATACTTGATGGTTTGAGATGGTAACATGGAAAATATCAATATAATTGATTCAGAGCACTTCCTATGAGGGCTTGAGGTCCCATTTTGTGGTTAAAGATTAGATCCATTGCTCCTTAACAAGCATATGTTAAAAATTAACTAATTAGGAAGTTTTTTTTCAAAGGAGAGTGCATTTGCCTGAGAAGCAGAAACTAACAACTTTATAAAAATAAGCCAGATTTGTAAAATGGATGTGCACACAAAATTCAAGTTCTGGAACAAGCCCAAGTCGAGAAATGGAGAACAACCAGAACTTTCTGCTGAAGTTTACAGCAGGTAAACTTGAAGAACAGAAGATCTAGAGGACAAGTGACTGAGATCAGTGACAGGTCATGAACACCCATTCCTTTTACCTATGTATATGGGGATGGTGGTTTTTATTACATGTGGCTGCCTCTATAAATGCACTTATTTCCTTCCATAGACTCAGAAAATCTCACCATAGTTTACCGACTCAACAGCACTGACAAGGAACCATGTGTGTACCCGAGCTCCTCATCATTTAGCAGGCTTTAACAGAATGTGGCTCCCACCATCATATGTTAGAAAGCCATTTAGTGCCTTGCTAACTTACCTTCTTCTTCTTCTTCTTCCTCTTCTTCTTCTCTCCCACCTTGTACCTCATCGAAGTGTTGGGGGGAGATGTAACATTGGTTGATGAGCTCTGTCAAGAGCACTGTTAAGACTTATATTCATTTCTGTAAGGCTGTTCTTTATGCCATCACTCCATATTTTCTGATGACCTGTAGGACATAAAAATGCATGCCCAGGGTGTCCTTGATATCTTACCTGCACCTTCATGCTGGTTGACACTGCCTCTTGGTAGACTGTTGAATGTGGAATTAATTGTCAACATCACAGCACTCTGGACACTCCCATTAGCACTCCGTCCACATCTTCAGCAGCAATCGCAGAGTTACAATTCTGATGGTACCAGTAACAGTCTGAGTGTATCTCCGCCTCGCTTTTCCCTTGTTTATTGAGCATCGACCAGATCCCTTGGTCAGTCCTTGTAGCATCATTCTTCTCAGACTGTGTTGATCCTTTTGTGCCTCCACACTGCTGACTTGCTCCCAAAGGATGCTTACAATATCTAGCTTTTCATGCATCAGTTCACCAAAACCAGTCAAACTGCCTACCTGTTTGTTTCCCAAAATACCTGTATGACCTGGAGAAGACATCCAAAGGATGCCGACTACCCAGGACCTGTGAAGCAATACTTGCCACTCTGCATGGAGAAATCCTGTCTCCACCTTTCTTGATCATGCTGTAGTGTTAAAAACACAGGCAGCTTTTTCAAAATGTGTACCTAATGAGTTTTGTAATGGGGATTTCATGCTGTGACCTAGAGAGTCAGCAATGTCCCCACCTGTTCTTACTTTGGGTACTTGTTGTATTCTTTAGATGTCAGGATGGGACAGCAGGAGCCAATTGTGAGCAGATGGAACAGCTGTGTGATAAATTTGTTAATTCAGCTTGTTCGCCCGAAGGAAAATGTGAGCTCTTTGGGGGAACTATTCGATGTCAGTGTTTCGGAGGTGAGAAGTGAAAATTAGTTTTTCAATAATAAATCTTCACATAGCGTGTCATTGAAGACAGTGAAAGTTACAGTATAATTCTTTTTTTTTTTAAATTGACACTTGAAAAAAAAAAGCAATATTGAGTTGCGGTTTACAGCTAAGCTGCAATATCTGTGCTTTTGAGGCCCAACACTTCTATTTCAGAAAACTCCTTTCCCAGGGGTGTTCCTGTGCCCTGTTGTATAATTAAACAAAATAAAATAGATACACTACCCCTAACAAGCCTGTCTTAAAAGTTAACTAATTACAGGTGTTTCCGTCATCATCATTACTTAACACTGTGTATTGTTGGGTACCAGTTGTAGTTGACTGTCAGATCAGATCTTTCCATCTTTGACAGTCAGAAGTGATAGTCTTCGTGTTTGTATGTCTAAGATCTTTCTAATCAGTCAAGTTCAGTATCCAGGTCTTTCTTGGTCTGCCTCTTCTCCTCTTCCCCACTACTAAGCCCTGTAGTATTGTTTTTTGAGAGGACTCAGATCTTATTACATGTCCATGGATTGCATTTTTTGCCTTGTCATTGTAGATAAATGAGGTTCAAAGTTACAAATGCAAGGAACCAATATATAGAGGGTTCCACAGTCTTGGCTAATTGGGAAGCACTGCTTTAGAAGCTCTCAGGGAAGTACTTGCAAAGAGCTACATAGTTCCTGTTCTATGGCAGATTGTGATTAGTGGCCATTCAGGACAGTTTGAACCAGCCTGATAACACCTGATGCAATAAGCTCTTTAATCAGTTTTTTTTTTTTAAATCACTGTGCTTTTAAGTTAAAACTAAAGAGGACTGACTTCATTGCACATAATATTATCCCATGTGGCTGGATCTGTTTTCGAAAACAGAGTCTTACGAGGAATCTTTGGACTCATTAAAGATGCTAACAGCGGGAAATGGAGAGTGAGAAGCAACAATGAAATTCATAATCTAAGTCACCATTGATCACTGGCATCATGAGAGCAAATAGGTTGAAATGTTTGGGGAATATTGAAAGAATGTCAGATGACAGAGAAGTAAAAATTATATACACACAGGAGATAAATGGTCGTAGACCACAAGGCAAGCTAAGAAGACGATAGAGAGACAATATCTAGACAGACCTGCAAACACTTGGAGTCAATAACTGAAAAGAGAAGGCCAATAAGAGAGATGAATGTAGGCCAGTGAAATCTGCAGCAATGAATCTCAAGGGCTCTGAATACTGATGAAGAAGAAGAAGATTTGTTTTTAAATAACAGGGCTTGTTAAATTTTTATGTAATATTTTACTTGATAAAATTACAAAACAATATGTAGTTCTATTTGTAAAACTGTAAACACCTCTTTTATTTCAGATTTCAACTGCACATTTTCTGAATATCAATCACTTGAATATTCAACTGACGGCAAAGTGGTGATGTATTCAGAGAATGGTAGAAGTCAGTGTGAACAGTTGTGCTTGAACAATGTTAAGTGTATGGCATATCTCAGCGAAAATGACAGATTCTGCCTACAGTACAATAAAATATTACCTGGAACTAATAAATTTCAGTCTTATGTGAAGAACTGCACAGTGAAACCATGTAAGATATGATTTCATGAAATTTATTTTGTGTGTTTTTTGTTTGATGTGCTTGCGGCTTAGGGTTATGAGGGCAGTTTCATAATTCTGACAAGCCTGGCAGGGTTGAAAGGTGGTTTATTAGCAGACCAATTTGTATTGTTTTAACAATGGTCTCACAGTCTCATCATGATATACCTCTTCTGCCTTTAAGCATCTAGTGGGGGGGGGGGGAATAAATTGTGATCCAGTACATGCAGGCTGGCGGCACTGGCTATTGTCATGCCATGAGGGCATAAATTATTTGTATTGATGTTGGTCCGTATTTTTCGTAGCCGTCATCTTGCTCTTGTAGCCAATCTTCTGAGACCTAGTGCCTGTGATGGTATTTGATGGTTGCTGCATTCTAGCAAGATGGTGAAACCACTAGATCTGCTGTTTCTCACTGAATCTTATTACAGGGTGTTGTTCCCACAATCTGTCTGATGTATATGCTAGTAATGACTATTGGAAAAGTCATCATCAGTCAATCATCAGTTCTCTTTATGCCTGGTGGCACATGAGGCTTCAGAGAGGACTTTCCATGCTTTCCTGTCCTGTGCAATCTTCAATGCAGTTTTCCATGTCAGAGATGCCGCATTCAGGTCACTCTCCATCGTTTGTCTCCATGTTGTTTTGGGGCACCCCTTTTTTCTCTTTCCCTCTGGTATCCATGTGAGAGCTGTTTTGTCAGGTATATCAGGATTCATTCTCATAACGTGGCCAATCCATTTCCACCAGAAAAGTCAGATTTCTAGAATATGCTGTAATCACATGTTAGAAGTAAGACAGCACATTATTCTGTAGAGAGATGTTTGGTAGAGTCATTCACACATCGGCCATTGTTCAGGACTTAGAAGAGTTAAAGAAATCATGTGTACAACATTTAGCACAAAGCTTTTTTAAATGAATAACTTCCATTACATTTTAAAGTTGAGAGGATCAATGTCATTGCATTGGGTTTTAACCCAAAAGGCTCAGTCACTCTCTGCAGAACTGCAGGTCGCTGGCTGAGAGCATCACAGAGCACAAACACCATAGTTTTGGTGAT